CTTTGTCCATGGACATCTGGACTCTTCCACCTCTTGGCTGATGTAGATAATGCTGCAGTGAACATGGGTGTGCACCGATTGCTGAAACCTTGCTTTCAGTTCCTTTGGATATATACCCAGAAGTGGAATTGCTGGATCATATGGTTTCTATTTTTAGAGTTTTGAGGACCCTTCATACAGCTTTCCATAGTGGCGCACCATTTTACATGCTCACCAACAGTGCTGTGTACTGTTCCTGTTTCCGCACGTCCTCACCAATGCAAACTTGTTTTCTGTTTTGTTTTTTATAGTGGCCATCCTAATAGGTGTGACATAGTATGTCATCGTGGTTTTTATTTGCGTTTCTCTAATGATGAGAGATGTTGAGCCTTTTCCTGTGGTTGGCCATTTGTCAGCCATTTATACATCTTTGGAGAAATATCTCTTCAAGACCGTTGCCCATTTTTAAATGGGGTTACTTGTTGCACAAATGCAACACTATTTACAGAAGAGACGGTCTTTTCCTTGTCATATGGTCTCATCTCCTCACTATTTATTTAAACATTTTATTTATTTATTTATTGAGTTGTAGGAATTTTTTATATGTTTTGGTTATTAACCTTTGATCAGATATGGTTAATGATTATTTTCTCCCATTCACTACATAGGTTGGCTTTTCACTCTGTTGACTTTTTTCTTCAATGTGCAGAAGTTAAGTTTGACATAGTACAGTCTGCCTATTTTAGCTTTTGTTGCCTATGCTTTTGGTGTCATATGTAAGAAACCATTCCCAAATCTAACATCATGAAATTTTCCCTCTGTGTTTCCTTTTAAGAGTTTTATAGTTTTAGGGGCACCTGGGTGGCTCAGATGGTTGGGCGTCTGCCTTTGGCTTGGGTCATGATTCCAGGGTCCTGGGATCAAGTCCCACATCGGGCTCCTGGCTTGGCGGGATGCCTGCTTCTCCCTCTCCCTCTGCCTCCCCCCCTGCTCATGCTCTCTCTCTCTGTGTCTCAAATGAATAAATAAAATATTTTAAAAAAAAGTTTTATAGTTTTAGATCTTAATTTAGATCTTGAATCTATTGTGAGTTAGTTTTTTGTGTATGGTGTAAGGTAAGGGTCAAACTTCGTTCTTTTGCATGTGGATATCCAGTTTTTGCAACACTATTTATAGAAGAGATGGTCTTTTCCTTGTCATATGGTCTCATCTCCTTACTGTTTGTTTATTTAAAGATTTTGTTTATTTATTTGAGAGAGAGAGAGAGAGACAGAGAGAGAGCACAAGTGGGGAGGAGAGGGAGAAGCAGGCTCCTTGCTGAGCAGGGATCCCAGGACCCTGAGATCATGACCTGAGCCAAAAAGCAGATGCTTAACTGACTGAGCCACCCAGTTGCCCCTCCTTACTGCTTAGATATGCTTTATGGAAGATTTCCTTCTGTATCTTCCAGTCTTACCATTGGATTTTTTATTAAAGCTATAATATGTCAGTGTCCCAGAAACCTCTGTTGGTATCCTAATCATTCCTTTGTCTAGCACTCTCTCTTTTTTTTGATAACTTTAAATGATTTTCCTTTATCTCCTTCTGATATTAGTTTCTCTTTGTGTGTATATGGGGGGGCAGGTCTTGTGCATGTCTTGTGCATGTCTTGGGTCTCCCCTCCTGCAAGCACCACCTCCCAAATCACTACCTCTAGATTCCAGCAAATGAGGGGTGTGTGTGAACATCAGAATTTTGAGGCCCCCATTCAGGTTTTTCCACTACTCCTGTAATTCTGTGGTCTTGTCACTCAAGCCCTTTCTTGAGACTCCTGAATGCAGAGGAAGCCATGGGACTCTGCATGGCTCTGCACCAGTAGGCTAGACCTGTGCCCGGGCCATGCTTTCCAGGTGAAGGTGTCTTTGCAGTTCTTCCAAGCCTTCCTGGCCAGGGTTGCCTACTGGTTCACCACTGAGGTTTGTTAGGTGGTATTGCAGAAGCTACAGAAAGACCCCTCCCACATCCTGGGATGGGAGGAGGGCAAATTCCATAGGGTGTGCATGAATAGAGGCAGTGCCTCCTTTTTCCCTTTGTTTTGAAAACAGGGCTGGACGTTTTCTTGGGTGGGGTTTAGGAAATATCTTCTCAGATTGTGACTGAAAGATCTTTTTTGCCCTACTTGTAGATCTGCTGTGCCTGAATCACATCATTTGCCTGTACCTGCCTGGCTGGTAGATGAAGCACCTGCTCTCTTGGGGCAGTGGCTCAGATTCACAGGGATGAGGGAAGGAGAGGAAAGGAGTGTTCCTGAATGGCTGGGAACTCAACTGTGTATTGAGTAGAATGAAGTGTAACCCAGGTGACATTGGCTTGAATGTATGGGCCCCTCCACTTTGTCAATCCTTTTGTGGAGGCAGACAGACAGACCAGTAAATTCTCTCAACAGGGGGGCTGGCTTGTCATTGCTCCTGGGAAGACCCCTCTGGAGCCCTTTACCCTTCAGCCCCCACACCTGAGTTCTGCCCAGATCTGGAATCCTGGAGCAGGAGATCAGACAGGAAGGCCACAGGTTTGGCAAGTCCAGTGTGATGAAGGTTTGCTGGGCCTTGATTTTCCTGATATCTCCTCTGTGATCGTCCAGGTATTGGGAAGAATCTTAAGTTTACTTGGGCTCCTGGGGAATGTCCCCATCACTGGAGTGAATGCTCTAGAGTGTGCTCCCTACTCTTCCCCTGCTTTGCATACCCCAGTCTAGATCTGACCTGTACTAGAGGAGTCTAGGATGTGACAGCCCTGAGATTAAGTGGACCCATAATGCTGGTGATCTCCCCTTTGAAATAGCTAAATTGCAGCATTATCTATTGCTCTTGCTTAAATGGGCTCATTATAGAATGTTTAGCATAAAAGTGCAAACCCAAAACATTTCTGGCATTTGAGATTTGGTAGGGTGCACAACAGACCTGTGCTGAGGTCAGCTTTGGGAATGAGGAGGCGCTGCTGGAGCCTTCTTGAGTGCCTATCTGTCTTGTGGCCCAGAGGGCAGGTGGGGTGTGGAGCTTGGGAGGACTGTGCCAGTCACTCCCTCCTGGTCTTGGGTCACTGGATGGCAACCTGGTGGCTTATGGATTGGGCCTGTTTCCCATTTACATTTTCTTGATTTTCCTCTGACCCCCTAAGGCCCTGCTTTGCTCTCACTGACCATTACTATTACTGATGTGTTTCCCCTCAGAAGACCTGTGACCTCTCAGAAAGGTTCTCTAGAGACTGTTTCATAATCTGGCACGTGGGGGAGACCCTAAAGCCTGCTGGGTGCTCTGCACCTGCCTCGCTGTAGACAGAGGTGGCTGGTTGTTCTCTTTATCTGAAATGTGCTTCTGGCATTCAGCCTTCTATGAGGGGTTGGTCCCTGTTTTCAGAACCTGAATCTGTTAGCGTTTTACCGAGGGCAGGTTTTCTTTGCAGTTTCACCCCATAGACTCATTGTGAGTACACTGGGTGTTCTGCTGTGAGCCGACAAAGATGGGGTGTTCTGCTGTGAGCCGACAAAGATGCTGCATGAGATGCTGTGGGAACAGGGGCTGTTCAAAGAGTTCATGCCGCTCTCCCCCAGACCAGGGTCCTACTGGCCCACTAATTCTGTACCTTTTTAGTCATATAGAAGCTCCTCCTGTTCTGTGGAAATCCCCACCCAACCTCAAAAATGTGCATCTAAGCTCCGAGAGTAAATGAGGTAGAAGCAGCCTGGGCCTCCAGAGATGGCCCCAGACTTGGTGGGGACTGGAGACATTGAAGATGAGCTGCAAACACAGCTCTTGTGGGTGATGAGGAAGGAGCTGCTGCCCTTCTTTTTAAGTCTTGTTGCCTCTTATTTTTTTCTTTGTGCTGCTCTTTGTTTCAGCAACACTTTGAGATGTGGTGGGCAGTGGACCCCCATCTCACCAAGGGAGACTCGCCACTACTGGACCCTCCACACACAATCTATACCTCCATGGGCAGCCAGGGCGCCTCTGGCCCCAGTTTGAGACTTTCTTCCTTCTGTGTAGAGAGGGAAAGCTGCAACTCAACAGGAACTTAAATTCCTGTGGTGGAGGGAGAGCCCAGCCACCCAGAGTGGTGTGGATGTAAGACTTGCCTATGGCTGGGAGAGGAAGACATTTCTTCTCTTCTTGCTCTGCCCTTGGGAAAACAGCCAAGCCTGCCTTCTCCAGGGATACTCCTGCACCACCCAGGGCATGCTCCACAGAGCATGGCTGGGTTTAGCCCCTTCACGACTCATGAAGAGGCCTCATGGGGTGTTTGCTGAGGAAGGTTTTGTAAGAGAAAACCCTGGAGATACCCTGTGTCTCTAAAACAATCCTTAGGTAAGCTGTGTTACATCTCTGCACACAAGAGCGCAAGAGCATTATGGTCATTTTTTTAAATGAAGAAGGCATGGAATGATCTCTCAGATGTGGTGTATTTTTTTAAAAGTTGTAAAATAATATGTATGGTGTTACACTCATGTAAAAACATGCATATCTCTGTGTGTTATGTATGTACACACGTCGGTGCATCTGTCCACCTTGTAGACTTGGGAATAATTTCAAACCTACACTCCAAGCAGTGTTTACCTCTGGGAGTGGGGTTAGGCTTTTGTTTTGCTTTGATTTTTTTGTTTTTATTTTTGTTTTACTTTATATGCTTTTAATTGATTGAATTGGTTACAACTAAAGGTAAAATAGAAGAAATGGAGGATTTGTTCATGATTTGCAGAGGTGGTGGGGGAGGGGGGCATTGTTCATAAGCAGGGCAACAGGGAGAGCTTGGGGTGGGGGAGCATCAGCATCAGGGATATGTGGGTGTGGTAGGTTGTGCATTCGGGGTCCCCTAGTCACTTATCACCCTCCTCGCCCCGATTCCTCTACCCTCTTTCACATACTGAATTTTGCCACTTGTCTTTCTTACTGTTATGTTCTCCTTTCTGTTTACTTGTGGCTTCTCAGAAATTAGCATTGACAAATACCAGTACTTGCGTGCAGCTCACCACAACTGGCTGTTGTCTACAAAAGGATGCGGCTCCCAGCTCGGGTTGGGGGCTCACCTTGGATGAGAAGCTTGACAGAGGTCAGGTTAGGAAGGTTATTTCATTTTCTGATTTATCCTTGATGATTTTACATGTGTATCTGTGTTTCTCGATGTTGTCTCTGTCATCATCTCAAAGCAGTCTGGGATGGGGGCAGGTTCCCAGCTCCACCTCTCCTTGCCCTTTCTCCGCTTCCCCACCCTCCTGTGGAAGTGCACGCGTCATTGGATGAGTGGGTAGGGGAGGCTTGTTCTCCTTTTACTCCTGCATCCAACCTGAGGCCATGAGCTGCTATACTGACCCTCAGAGTGGATGCTGGTAGTGTTTATATCCGATCAGCAGGTGTTCAATCAGGAGCTCAGGGGAGGCAGTTCACCTTAGAAAACCACAGTGAAACATCACAATGAAGATTCTATTCAGTCAGTTTTTTTACTGTCATCGATTCTGTTGTTTTCCTGAGTAAGATGATACTCTGGGGTTAGGGGGTTGATGTGAACAGATTCCAATCTCTCATACGGTTTTTGTGCTGATGCAGACCTCCCTTCCCACGTGGATGATGGTGGTCCAATACTGTCAACATTAAAAATTGTATCTTTGGGGTGCCTGGGTGGCTCAGCAGGTTTGACTGTTGATTTCGGCTCAGGTCATAATCTCAGGGTCATGAGATCAAGCCCCCATCAGGCTCTGCACTGGGCGTGGAGCCTGCTCAGGATTCTCTCTCTCCCTCTCCCTCTGCAGCCCCCCCCATGTGTGCTCTCTCTCTCTCTCTCTCAAGAAGAATTACATCTTTAATTGGCATTTACTCTGCTGTCTCTTATTAGTAAGAAATGTTGCTTTACTGTTTCATGTTTATCCATTAATTATTTGATTATTAATGAGCTTGATCAGTTTTCCATGTTTGTTTACTTGTCATATTTCCTCTTTTCAGAATTGTCCTTGGTCTGTGCTGACCCACATGAAATTGCCATTGTTGTTGGTCGGAATGGTCTAGTATTGACAATTTCATATGGTTCATCCTAATACCTTTAGGGTTTCAGTGTTTTTCATGATTTAGCAACATTTTTCTAGTTATGAAGTGTTTCAGTTTCTATAAAAATTTTTCAGAAATATAAAAATATAGAAAATGGAAATGTGTAATACCACGAAATCATCTCTTACCATTTTGGTGTAGTTTTTTCCTCCTTCCTTCCTTCCTTCCTTCCTTCCTTCCTTCTTTCTTTCTGTCTTGTCTTGTCCTTTCTTTCTTCTTTCTTTCTTAATTTCTCCCACATAATTGCAAAAGTCTCTTGATAGAACTGTTCTAGGCATAAGTGAACTGACTAGTATGTATACTAGCTATTATTATTATAAAGTTTTTATCCCGGCTTGATATTTTATCAACTGCACTTCTTCAAAAATGTGTTTTTTTAAGCCTATTGAATCTTCTGCCATATAATTATGCCGTAACTAACAAGCTCTTTTCTTTCATTGGATGTTTAATTTTCTTTCACATCTTTGTAGCTCTGTTTCCTGAAGCATAGGAATTTCTGTGAGGAATTTGGTGTACGTAAAATAAGTAGGTCAGATAATACAATTATTTAAAAATTTTTTGGTAAATGTGACAAGTCTAGAATGTCTGGAAGACATTTACTTGTCACTTTCTACAGCAACGTGTGAGAGCCCCCTTATGATAGCCTCAGCTAGCTCTGGGGTGTTTTTATTCTAGATAATTTGACTGTGACAAATAGTATATTTATTTTCATTTAGACATTTTTAGATGGTTATTAGCCATATATTTTTCTTCTTTTGTGATTAATCAACATCCTTTGTATATTTTATTGGAGTTTTCATTTTTTATTATAAGTACTTTTATTTGGTAAAATAGTATTTGGAACTAAATACTAATAAGGGAAAAAATACCATACTTGTATATGTATAGAGAAAAATGAGAATATATATTTGCCAAAATACTCATAATGATTTTTTTAGGTGGTGACATTTTGGATGATTTTAGTTCTCTATTTTATATTTATCTCTTTTCTGATTATTCTATAATAATTTTTTTTATTTTTTAAAAGAGATTTATTTATTTAACAAAGAGAGAGCGGGCAGGTGGAGGGGCAGAGGACAGGCAGATTCTCCACTAAGCATGGAGCCTACCATGGGGCTCGATCCCAGGACCCTGAGATCATGACCTGAGTTGAAATCAAGAGTCGAACGCTTAACCGAGTGAGCCACTCAGGCGCCCCTATGATATTTTTCTTACAGAACAAAGAAATTCTGGCTTTTGTGAACAAGGACTGGCTCCCTGGTCACTTGCTTCTGACCTCTTGTACAAAGGTCCTACAGAAACCTGAGAGTGCCCTGGATGCCTTTTCCCACGTGCCCAGCCCCGGCCCGGCACCTGGGCCACCTTGCTGAGGCTCATTAGAGCAGTGGAAGAACATGTGAGGTGTGGCAATAAAAGTGTACTCTTGTTTTTCTTTTTTTCCCCTGGCATGTCCAGCTTGCTATGGGATGGAAGAAGAAGAAGAGAACCACTATGTTTCACAGCTCAGGGAAGTCTACAGCAGCTGTGACACCACAGGGACAGGCTTTCTGGACCGGGAGGAACTGACCCAGCTCTGCCTCAAGCTTCAGTTGGAAAAGCAGCTGCCCATCCTTCTGCAAACACTTCTTGGAAATGACCACTTTGCCAAGGTGGGTGTTTGACTTCATTCTTATAAAGAAAAGCACAGAGTACTGTAGTTAGCTGCAGGCATTTGAGAAATATTAGTGGACTAAGGACACATGCCAGAAGAGAGTTACTAGGAACTGGAACACTGCTTTTCCTTCTGGGGACCTCCTATATTGAAGCAAGAGTTTCCTTCAGATTACTCTTTTTTTGAAAGCATAGTAACTTCCAGAAGTTTGGTTTGGTTTGTTTTTTCCAGAAAGATGTTTGAGAGATTTGTCAGGGGTGGAGTGAAGGGTTGGTTTGGGTGGGTGGCAGGTGGTTCACAAAAACACAAAGATCTGTGGGCAGCTGACACACTGAGACACAGGCAACCTCCAAGTACCTCGAAGGCAGATTGTCTAGTAAAATTACACAGCTTTATTTTTTTTTAAGATTTTATTTATTTATTTGAGAGAGAGAGAGAATGAGAGATAGAAAGCATGAGAGGGAAGAGGGTCAGAGGGAGAAGCAGACTCCCTGCTGAGCAGGGAGCCCGATGTGGGACTTGATCCCGGGACTCCAGGATCATGACCTGAGCTGAAGGCAGTCCCTTAACCAACTGAGCCACCCAGGTGCCCAAAATTACACAGCTTTAAATTCATTCTAGCAGCTGGACAAAGCAACTACACACCACTGTTGCAGGAACAAAGGATACCTATGTTCAGAGGTGTCCTCTGATTTTATCTAGGCCAGATAGAAAGTACTCTATCTCTGCTCCTTTTCACTAGGAAATTGAAGGTCATCTAGAATGGTGATCTAGAACCTAGACCACAACTTGCTTTCCTGACAGAAACACTGAAAAGCACCTCCCACCTTGTCCCTACTTCTTAAATGTGTCTAGATGTTAACTTGTATGATAAAAACAGCCCTGGTCATCTTAACTTTGAAGGAAGAGCTTTTTTTTTTTCCCCCACAGAAATCAATAAAACTATTTTTATTTCAAATGAGAAAAAAAAATCCAGCCTGAAGATTTTCCTGAATTGGTTCTTGGACAAAAAGAAATGAGGAAAAACAAGAAGAAAACCCTCACTGCTGACACAGGGAGAAAGTCCTGATGAAATGTACCTCTTGTTACTTCCCAAAGCACCAACTGCCCCGTGTTCCCAATGCCTATCAGTAGGATACTGTTAGTCCCTCTTACAGAGCTCTGCCTCAATTAATCTGACCACACCCATTCTCTGTTTCTTTTTATTCTATGCCTGCCTCTTGGTTTTTTGTGGGTTTTTTTTTTATGGGCTTAAGAATCAGGTGTATTTTTTAAAATATATTTTTTAAGATTTTGTTTATTTATTTGAGAGAGAGTGAGAGCTAGAGAGAGAAAGAGAGCACACACAGAGGGAGAGAGAGAAGCAGACTCCTCACTGAGCAGGGAGCCCGATGTGGGACTCAGTCCCAGGACCCTGGGATCATGACCTGAGCCGAAGGCAGACACTTAACTGACTGAGCCACCCAGGTGCCCCAGGTGTATTTTTTTTTTTTTTGAAAGATTTATTTATTTATTTATGGGGGGGCAGAGGGAGAGGGAAAAAGAGTCAAGCAGACTCTGTGCTTAGCACAGAGCTGATGCAGGGTTTGATTTCATGCCCCTGAGATCAGGATCTGAGCTAAAACCAAGAGTTGGCCACTTAACTGACTGTAGCACCCAGGACCCCCATATCAGGGGTATTTTTTATAATGTTCTAGTGCCTCTTTTTTTTTTTTTAAGATTTAATTTTATTTATTTGAGGGAAAGCACGATTTGGGGGGAAGAGCAGAAGGAGAGGGACAGACAGACCCCGTGCCAAGCACAGACTCCAACACAGGGACCCTGAGATCATGACCCGAGCTGAAATCAAGAGTTGGACACCCAACTCACTGAGCCACCCAGGTGCCCCGATAATGTTCTTGCCCCTCTTGATATCACCTAGAATTGTATTTGGGACCCAGAGGAGCAAAAAGCACATTTGTGAAAATCAGCACTCTGGTTATTCAGTATAAACAGATGATCTGGTTTTCTTAATTATTTTTGACGGTTGAGAAAATTCAAAACCAAAAGAATAACTTGTGGGTTCACAATCAGATGGCAGGTTCCGCTGATTGAACAAATCACATCATTCCCGAGCCTTGTCCCACTTTATGTTTTGTATGTGCAGAAGTGGTATAACATTTATGTATTTGTTTTTTATTAACATATAATGTATTGTTTGTTTCAGGGGTACAGATCTGTGATTCATTGGTCTTACACAATACACAGCACTCACCACAACACATACCCTCCCCAGTGTCCATCACCCAGCCACCCCAACCCCCCAGCCCCCTCCCCTCCAGCAACCATGGTATAACTTTTAGAAACATCAAATCGGAGCACCTGGGTGGCTCAGTTGGTTGAGCATCTGCCTTTGGCTCAGGTCATGATCCCCGGGTCCTGGGATCGAGCCCTCCTTGGGCTCCCTGCTCAGCAGGAGTCTGCCTCTCCCCGCAGCTTGTGCTCTCTCTCTCAAATAAATAAATAAAATATTTAAAAAAAAATAGAAAAGTCAAATTATGATAGAAAAAAAGGTTAGTATTGGAACTTCAGTAAAGAGAAAAATCAACTTGGGTTTGAGATTTCTGGCCTCCCCCACATCACATGTATCCCAAAAAGCAGTTTCTTGAGTTGTAATCCTTCTGGGAGGCTGGAAGTTTCTCCACACTTTCATGGGGAGGTATGTTAGAAGGAGAGACAGACACTCATAAGCAATGACAGGAGCCTGACCTTTTCTGATTAACAATGGCTTGTGGCAAAGCTCTGCACATGTTCATCCATCTTTCTGTCTATCCCAACTCCATTCTCTTACAGCCATGATTTCTGTTTCCACAAAACAAGTCAGGTGTTGGGTAAATTAAGAAATAGCTCTGCTTCCATTATTTTAGTGCTCTTGAGTCTGACCTGAAGTTGTCCCCCTTTCCCTCTCTGTAACATTTCAAGAGCGGTGCCCACAACCGCTGATGCCTCTAGGGGCCGGCTTTTGTCTCCCTCCACCCCATGCTTTATACTACCTCCTCTGTGATGGGGATTGTGGTGGATTATTTCTGCTTTCAGAGTTTTTACTGCTCCTCTGCTTCATCCCATAGACAGGGCATAGCTCACACAGCCAGCATACAGGGGAAACATTCTGTAGATGTTTTAGGGGAAGCTGGTGTCAAGCCAGAAATATCCAGATAGTTGTTACCATTTTCTACAACAGAAACCAAATGGTGGAGATTTCAGGAGTCTTCAGAGAAAATCAAGAGAAATCCTTTATCCAGGAGAATCGATTGGATTTTCAGTTCAAATATCACCCATTATTTCCTTACAGTAACTAACATATATGACATCATGTAAATGTTAGTCATTGATACTTCAATCCAGTTAAAAAATTAAGAACAATATTATAAACAATATTAATTTGAATTAGCAAGGTAATGTTTTAATGTATTGAGGGCATGCTCATTTTTAATTCCTATTTCCTGTTAAAGAGACATTATCAAGGTCTGGTTTCAAGCCAGAAATTAATGTGGCCTAAGATTCCTGTGGAGTGTGGAAAATTTCCATGTGCATTTTATGTATTTTCTCTTGTTTCTTTATCAGTGGCAAGGATCTTAGCTTTAGTATTTTAAATTTGGTCAGAAAGAGAATTTTACTCTCAAAAAATAATTATTTCTTAAATTGAAATATAATTGACATACAGTGTTACAGTAGTTTTAGGTGTACAACATAGTGATTAGACAAGTGTATATGTTATGCTGTGCTCGCCACAGGTGTAACCCACCATCTGTCACCATACTTTACTACAATATCATCGATTATATTCTCTATGCTGGGCCTTTTATCCTCGTGACTTATTCATTCCATAACTGGAAGCCTGTATCTCCCACTCCCCTTCAACATTTTGTCCATCCCCCTACTACCTCCTGTTTGGCAACCATCAGTCAATTTGTCCTCTGTATTTATGGGTCTGTTTTTGCTTTCTATTTGTTTATTCGTTTTATTTTTAGATTCTATTTTTTAGATGACCATAAGTGAAATCCTATGGCAGTTGTCTTTCTGTGACTTATTTTAGCATAATATGTCCATCCATGTTGTCACAGATGACAAGATCTCAGCCTTTCTTATGACCAAATAGTATTCCTTTGTATACATACACCACATCTTCCTTACCCATTCATCTATTGACAGACACTTGGGCTGCTTCTGTATCTTTGCTATTGTAAATAATGCTTCAATAAACATAGGGGTGCATATACTTGAAAAAATAATTCTTAACATAGTGTTACTGAAAATAATTTTAAAGTTGAAAATGATTGTCAAAGGGTCTAGCCTCTATTTGTGACGAGTGAGTCTGAGATTATACAGAGATGATGGTATGTCCTTTTTGGTGAAGCACCTGAGTATTATGGGTTTGTTCTTCCCCCTTTCTTGAGCTACGAAAGAAGAAAACATAGAAACACAAGCACAGTCAGAATAGTATCAGATAGGGGTGCCTGGGTGGCTCAGTTGGTTAAGCCTCTGCCTTTGGCTCAGGTCATGACCCCAGGGCCCTGGGATTGAGCCCCGTGGCAGGCTCCCTGCTCAGCAGGGGTTCTGCTTCTCCCTCTCCCTCTCCTCCTGCCTCTTCCCCCACTCATGCTATCTCTCATTATCTCTGTCTCTCTCGCTTTCAAATAAATAAAATCTTTTAAGAAAAAAAAAGAAGAGTATCAGATAAAATGTCAACACACTTGGCCATCAGATCGCACTACTGTCTGATAGTTGGAAGAAAGTCAGCTGATAAGTATTACCAAAGACACAAAAGAAATCAGAGATTAGATCAAGCAAAATTGTCATTTCCTTTTTTTTTTTTTTTTTTAAGATTTTATTTATTTATTTGACAGAGAGAGAGAGACAGTGAGAGAGGGAACACCAGCAGGGGGAGTGGGAGAGGGAGAAGCAGGCTTCCCGCCGAACAGGGAGCCCGATGTGGGGCTCGATCCCAGGACCCTGGGATCAGAACCTGAGCTGAAGGCAGACGCTTAATGATTGAGCCACCCAGGCACCCCTGTCATTTCCTTTTGCTTCCATGTATTCAACAAGTATTTTTTAAAAAAGATTTATTTATTTGTCAGAGAGAGCACTAGCTGGGGCAGTGGCAGGCAGAGGGAGAAGCAGGCTCCCCGCCGAGCAGGGAGCCCCATGCGGGGCTCCGTTCCAGGACCCCAGGATCATGACCTGAGCCAAAGGCAGACACTCAACTGACTGAGCCACCCAGGCGTCCTTTCAACAAGTATTTTTGAGCACTTAGTATGTGCTCTGCAATATGCAGAAGCTAGGATGTGATCATCAAAGAAATATAATGTCTATCTTCATATGAAATGAAATCTATGCAAGATATTCATTCTAGTATTGATTCAAATAGCAAAAGATTGGAAACAGCCTTTTAAATATGAGATTGGTTAAATAAATTCTCATAGCTCCATCTGATGAAATTTATGCAGTCCTAAAAAAGTATGAACGGGCTTCAGACATTCTGGTAGTGGCAGGTTAGCAAACACAGGCCAACCTTCCAGGGAGGGCTACTAAAAAAGCTGAACAAAATCATAAAATCAGAGATCTTGAAAATGGTAGAGAGCAAATAAGTCAGTGAAGAATTACCAGCCTAAAAATCTGTAAGTCACACACTGAGAGAGGTTCAGCCCAGCACACAAAACCCCGTTAGTGCTGAGAAACTGTGAAATTGATGTGGTCTTTGGGACCTCAGAGGGCCAGGAAAATCTATGTCGAAACACAGGTTCCAGGGCACCTGGGTGGCTCAGTCAGTTAGGTATCTGCCTTCAGCTCAGGTCATGATCCTGGAGTCCTGGGATCGAGTCCCACTTCAGGCTCCCCGTTGGTGGGGAGTTGGCTTCTCCCTTTCCTCCCTGCTTGTGCTCTCTCTCGCTATCTCTCTCTCTCACACAAATAAAAAAAAAAAAGTTAAAAACAAAACAAAACAGGTTCACCCAAGGTAGAGAATCTAATAAACTAGCCCCCAATTTAAGGAAGGATCTGAATCAGCCATTGTGCTTTTTTGCTGTCTGGGCTTGTCTCGTCTCAGTGGTCTAGATAAACCTCATTTAGCTGAAGGTGGTCCTGCCCACAAAAGTAAACAAATGCACAAATAATCCAGTGTCAGGTCATGGTGACATGTGTATCCCAGGCAAACAGCTGTATTTAGTGCTCAGTGGCGGCAACAGGGGTTTGCTGATTCAAATTCTGTGCCAGATTTGAGAAGCATGCTTGGATCTATAGCCCCAAATCTGCTTTTCCAGCATTTACTGGTAACCTTTTGACCTACATAAGCCCTTCTGTTGACTTCTTTCTGTGTGACTTATTGAAGTATCCATAGAGAACAGAGCACATATCAGAAGTGTACACTCAATGACTATCCCATACTGAGCATACCTGGGTAACGAGCATCTGGAATCCCTCCCCATGTGCCTTGCAGTCCTTTCTCACTAAGGCCACTACTGTCCTGACACTAACACCATAGATTTGCTTTGCCTGTTTGTGATCTTTGTAGCATGGAAATACACAGTACGTGCTCAGTACATACTCTCTGACTTTCTTTACTCAGTATTATATCTGTGAAATACAGTTCATCTTGTCTCTGTGTTTTTTTTTCCATCATCATATTTCATTTTTTGACTATATCATAATTTACCCATTCCATTTATGAACATCTTGGTCATTTCTACTATTCTTCTAATAAATTATCTTCTTGAAAAAAGTCTATTGAAAGTAAAATAAAAACATTTCAGACAAACTACAGAGTTTAGCACCAGCATACTTAAGAAAAATGAAATTCTAAACCATGCACTTCAAATAGAAAATTATCCTAGACAGAAGGTCAGATATACAAGAACAAATGAAAAACAAAGCGGTAAATATTTGGATAATTCTTAATGAACATTGATTATATAAAATAAAAAGTATTTTGTGGGGAGTTAAAGTAGAGCAAGTTAAAATATATGGCAACTCATAAGAAAGGCATGAAAGTCAGGAGTATAGTAGATGAAATGAAAGTGTTACATAGGCTTCCTGTTGTCACAGAATAGGGTAAAAGTATTGACTATGTAAACTTTGATAAGCTGAGGATGTGTGTTGTAATTTGTAGGATAAATGGTCAGAGAAAGGAAATAGACTATATAACCTCTAACTTAGTAAAGGGAAAAAGAAGTCCTAAAAAAAAAAAAGTAAATCCAAAGAGAGGAAACCAGGGAGAAAACACAAGCAGGTCAGATTGAAATCACACAATAGAACAGTAGATTTAAATCCAAATATATCAGTAATTATATTAAATGTAAATAGACTAAATAGTTAAAAGATAAAACTTTTATAAATGACACCTAAAATATATGGATATAAAAAATTGACATTACTAAAATTTGGTAAAAAGATATATCATGTAAATACTAACCAAAAGAAAGCTAGTCTTTATGGTGAAAAACATTACCAAAGTAAAGAGGGTTAGCATTTTATAGCCATAAAAGATTCAGTTCACAAAGAGGATTTAAATGCATATTCTATGACCCAGCAATCCCATTCATCGACATATACTCCTAAGAAACTCCTAAGGACACATGTGCAATACTGTTCAAAGCCTTTAAAAAAAAAAATAACCAGCCACTGGAAACAATGGGAATATTCATCAGTAGGAGAACGGATTTATGAATTTTTGCACAGTTAAACAATGGAATACTATACAGCAGAGAAAATGCATTTTGCATGGCAGCTTGAATGAACATTACAGAAGTAATATTGAGTCTAAGAAGCAAGACATAAAAGAATATATGCATATGATTCCATTTAGATCAAATTTGAAAAGAGACAAAACTAAACCATATTGTTCTGGGATGCATACAAATGAGGAAACAAGCAAAGATGTTAATACCATAAAAGAGTGGGGGGCAGGGAATTTAATAGGAAAGGAGCCGTGGTGGAGGAGCCTCTGAGGTGCTGATATTATTCCATGTTTTGGTGGGGTGGTGATAGCCTGGATATTTTCTTTTTGTATATTAGTGTTTTATGATCACCAGATCCCCATTTTGGGTACATTTTCTAATTATTAAAATTGGTTATAGGAGTTTTTTGGTGATTAGTTTGTGACTCACTTTTACTTGTTATATTCTTCTATTTAAAAAAATCTTAAGTGACTATTAGAACAAATGAACGTTCTCAGAGCTAAAGGCAACAGTAAGATGTTTCCATCTGAGAATAAAAACAAAAGGCTAAGGTATTTTATAGTGATCTGTTGAAAGTAGTCCTGACCTCTCTTTTTTTTTTTTTTTTAAGATTTTATTTATTTATTTGACAGACACAGCGAGAGAGGGAACACAAGCAGGGGGAGTGGGAGAGGGAGGGAGAAGCAGGGAGCCCGATGTGGGGCTCGATCCCAGGACGCCAGGATCATGACCTGAGCCGAAGGCAGACACTTAACAACTGAGCCACTCAGGCGCCCCTGACCTCTCTTTTCTTATATTTACCAGGTTAACTTTGAGGAATTTAAAGAAGGTTTTGTGGCAGTGTTGTCATCAACTGCTGGTGTTGGCCCCTCAGATGAAGACAGCAGTTCTTTGGAATCAAGTAAGAGGATTTCCTCCTCTCACTCCAAGTGTTTGTTTTTTTCATTATTTGTTACCTTCTAGAGTGTGATATTCAGATTGAAAAATATAGCAGGTCTGAGAACTAAATTGTAACTCCACTCCCTTACTGCCAACCTGTGTGGACTAGGACAAGACTTTGGGTTTTTTCTTCTTCTGTTTCCTTATTTGTGCAATAGTGTTGGAAAGGAGAAGCTCTATTGTTTTCCTTTACACATAGCACTTCTGTGTGTATGTGTGGTAGTCTGTCTCACACCAGGCAATTCTCTAACACTATCCGGGTGTCCTACATTATAACTCAGTCCTGACATTGCCTACCTGCAGTTAGCCTCAGATTCCACAGGCCAAGGGCTCAATCCCACAATATGGTCCTCACTTCAGATGACAGTCACAGATCCAGGTTGTCACCTATGCTTCTGATGGCTATAAATCAGAGGTTCCCACAACCCCTTCCTCAGGTTCAATTAATTTGCAAGAGGAGCTCCTAAAACTCAGGAAAACAGTTTACTTACCAGATCACCAGTTTATTGTAAAAGGATGTAAGTCAGGAATAGCCAGGTGGAAGAGGGCACAGGGCAAAGTATGGGGAAAGGATACAGAGCTTCCATGCCCTCTCCAGGCAAGCCATTCTCTCCCAGTCTCTGTGTGTTCACCCCAGAAGCTCTCTGAACCTCATCCTGATGGGTTTTTGTTCAGGCTTCATTACATAGGCATGTTTGATCAAATCATTGGCTCTTGGTGATTGAACTCAACCTCCAGCCCCTCCCCCTTCCCTGGAGGTCAGAGTGGGGCTGAACATTCTAACCCTCTAATCACATGGTTGGGTCCCTGGGCAACCACCCCGATCCTTAAGGGCTTTCCAGAAGTCACCTCATTAACATAAACTCAGGTTTGGTTGCTCTTGTCACTTAGGACATTCCAAGGGTTTTAGGAGCTCTGGGCCAGGGGTGAGATGAAGAGCAAATACATATTTATTATAAATCACAGTATCACAAGTGTCAAATAATATTGTGTGCTGTCCTTAAGGCATGGGCTGTTGACAAGATAAAGTAGATGTAGAGCAGTTGAAGTTTCAGGAATTGAAGCTCCGTGCAGACACAGGTGTACCTAGACCACTGAGGTTGGCAGAGCAGGTAGGATGCCAGCAGCCAGAGACAGACCTCACTGTATCTTTTGTCAGACAGTAGTGGTGTGTTGTGCTGATAGGCCTACTTAGACTCCTGTTATGGGAATGGGGCTGGTGGGACAAAGATAGCATGTCCAAGTGGAAGTGGTGTCCTGAGGGGGGATGCCCCCTGGCTTTGGTAATGGTCAGGAGGTGGAGGGAAGGTTTGGAGAGCGGTCCACTCAGGGGCATGTAGATTGTGGGGTGAGGGTCAGAAGATGCTGACAGACATTGTCATTAGTGCCTGCTCCATCAGACTTGAGGCTGTAAGTGGCAGCCATGCTTCAGACCCTTCTTGGCTATCTCTGATGAGTATTGGGCAGGTGAGTGAAAGGGGGCATGGGGCAGTGTGTTCGAGGTTGGAGGCATGGTATTGATGAGCAGCCCGAGGAGGGAGCTCTTTCCCTCAGCCCCACGGCAGGTCCTGCCGTGGCGGATCCTTGGTCTGGAGTGGGTGCATGACTGGATAACAGGGATAACAGTGTGGGAGGGCTTGGGGCAGGGGAGTGGGAGGTGGAAAGGATGAGAGCTCACATCGATTGTCTTCAGTGTGTTCGGACTCCCAGAGATCTGTAGCATTATCATGCCCATTATTCAGATAAGGAACTGAGGCTTGATGTGTGAAGGGATTTATTTGTCCAAGATCCCACAGCTAGTAAGTGAGAACCAAGATTCGAGTCACAATTTTCCAGTTGCAAGCCCTGGGCCCTTGTATATGCAGTGTAGACAGAACCCGCTCCTTCCACTGGCTGCCCAAGGCTACAAGAGCGCCTGGGTATAGTGCAGAGAACCCTGACGTGGGAGGAGCAGACCAGCAGTGGGAACCATTTGTAGGACCCTCAGGGCATTCGCTGGTTGCTTTGTCTGACACTTTTCTTCTCTAAGAGGTGAAGATGGCCACTGGCCTTTATGAATACAGGATTTGGGAATATGGCCTGTGATGGTGTACAAGAATGGAAAGGTGCCTGGTGTCCCTGACACTGCACGTGCCCCTCCCACACTAGAGAATGCATGAAGCTTCTAAACGTAAAACTGGATCTGTGGACATGCACTAAAAAAACCCAAAAAACAGAAAAAAGAGAGAAAGGAGCTATTCTAGGACTTGTGGGTTTTTTCCACCTATTCTATTTTTTTGTTGTTTTCTTTGGCTTTTGCTTTTCTTTTGGATTTCAAAGCTTTCCTCAATTAAATGGTCATATGTGTGGCCTGACACTCCTCTCCTCTTGCCAGCCTAAGGGGTGGGGGGCATCAGAGTCCCTCTGAGTTTTCTGTGCTTGGATTCCTAAATGTGCCCCAGCTTCCCACTTCCCACCTGATAGGACTTTACCTCTTCCTAAACCACCTGAAGGTGGAAGATTCTTCCTCCGCCCACATTAACCAGCCTGCAGCCTCTCTGTAACCAGAAACCATGCTCAGATGCAAGAGCCTATATTCACCGGTCCTCACTTACCCTTTTGGCAGCTCTCTGGTGGGAGCCTTTTTCCATGTTTGTAGCCTCCCCCTTCTGTACGCTGCTGGGTCTGCTCATAGGTTCTCCTGTTTTCTCTCTGCTGACTCAGACACTTTGCCCTCCCCTTCAGCACATCACATGCCTGTTGTCCCAGGGTGATTGGTATAGTGTCCATTATTACCTCCAGGTGTCCCAGTGAGGGGAGCAATGCTATATTCACCCTGCATATTTCAGCTGCCTTAAATGTCATGCTGTCACTTCACAGTCTGTCCATCCCACATGGAACTTGGCGTCTTCCTCCCTTGACCCCAGTGTCTGTCTGCCACTGGTATCACTGTGCTTCCAATTGGCAAGGCTGTACCCAGCCCCCTCCTCTGCTGTGGTCCCAAGGGCAGGGGCTGTAGCCTGGCCGTTTGAGGTTTGGAAGAAAGGAATGATGTGGTACTTGGCTTGAAGGAGCGTGACACATCTCAGTGAAATGCTGCTCAGTTTTCCTGGCCTGGCCTTACTTCACTGGACCCTTTGCCTTTCTCTTCAACCAGCCCATTCTGATCACTTTCCTCGGAACCCGTGTCCTGTCCTGGTTGCTGCCCATAATGCCCTCCCCAGGCTCTCTCCTACCCACCCAAATTCCACACAGTGTCAGTGTCATTTCTTCTCTGTCTGAAAGGTACCAGCTGCTCTGTACAAAGTGGATAGGTCAGGAGGGAAGAAGGAAATGGAAGGGATTGTTAGGGTTTAAGGGATTCTCATGAATCCCAAACTAAAACCCATGCCTGCCTTTGCCCCAGACTTCAGACCTGCAGAGTTTCAGCCTCCTGGGCTGTGTGTGAGGTCCACGCCCACCGTGCCCTGATGGTCCTGTCCAGATCGGGTTCCGAAGTGAGCAGGGTAGAAAGTGACCTTCTGGTCTCTAGAGCAGTATGTCGCTGGATTATTGGAGGTTTTTTTCCTTTTTTCTAATAAAATGCTATTAGTATTAGTCTTCTATTAGATCAACAAGAAGTCATTTCTTAGTAGTAGTCTTTTACTACATAAACAAAAGCAAAATATACTCAGAAAAATTTAAACAGGGACACCTGGGAGGCTCAGTCGGTTAAGTGTCTGCCTTCAGCTCAGGTCATGGTCCCAGGGTCCTGGAATCAAGTTCCACGTTGGGCTCCCTGCTCCACGGGGCATCTGCTTCTCCCTCTGCCTGCCGCTCCCCCTGCTTGTGCATGTGTGCTCGTGCATGCTCTCTCTCTCGAACAAATAAATAAAATCTTAAAAAAAAAAAAAGAAAGAAGAATTTAAACAGTACATAGAGTTTAGAGTAGAAAGTTACTGTCTCCCAGCCTGGGTTTCTCAGTCCCCTGCCTGAGGATTAGGGAGAATAGATTGACCACTGTTAACTGTTCTCTGTGTTCCTCCAGACATTCTCTGTGTGCGTCTCTGAAGGCTGCACTCCGCATCTTGAAATGTGTTGCAGCAGTGTGTGGGCCCCCCCACCAAACCTCCCATTTTCTTTCCAGCTGCCTCTCGTGCTGTCCCACCAAAGTACGTGAGCGGCTCTAAGTGGTACGGTCGCTGGAGCCGGCCCGAGCCCGAGCTGTGTGGCTCTGCAACAGGAGCCAAATGTTCACCAGAACAGCAGGCCCGGACCACTGGAAGAGGCCAACTCCGTCGCTCCGCATCTTTGGAAAGTGTGGAGGTGGGTCGGGTTCCCCTTCCCCACCCCATTTCACTTAGTCATTGTGACATGACTACAAGAGGATGTGAGGGGCAGGTGGGCATTTCTGGGCATCTCAAGTCACCAGAAGCATGGGTGCACATTGGGAAATGACATTTCGTTCTAAAATATCTCTGGGTCTGATTGTCTGCAGGGAAATTCTGGCCAGCGAGCATACTCCTTCGGACATTGGGGCAGCAGAGAATTGGTGTCCAAATCACTTGTTTCTTTCCCTCCCCTGGTTACCACCACCAGCTTTTCCCCAGCACTGGGAGAAGACTGGTTGTATGGTTTCATAGGAGTGAGGAAAGAAAGGGAAGATGCTTTTTTGATGCCCCTGCAAGGTTAGGAATTTGGAAGTACCAAGCCCACAGTCCCACCTGCCTTGAATACTTAGGATATACCAAGGCCCACACTTAAAATTTGTCGAAGATGTACCAGACACCTCCTGGGGCCTTGGGGGTTGATTCTAGCCCCCCATGTCCCTGAGTTGTTCACTGCTGCTGGGGCAAACTCAGGAGACGGGCTGCTAGAGCCCGACAGCCTTCATGTCAGGAAATATCCATGGGGCAGATCCACAGCTAGCTTTCAAGTTAACCATGGATTCCTTAGACCTGTTTCCAAGAATTTCAGAAGATTCCTGGTTCCTGCTCTCTGTGATGTCCACTTTGTCAGGTGGGGCTTTATGGGGACTTATTTTTAGTAAGACAGCTCTGGGCTTTCACATTAATTTGTTTATATATTCAACATTTGTTGAGGCAAACATATCTACTTAAATCGTAGAGTCCTTTTGCTAGACAATACCAACAAACCCCAGGTGTTCACTTTTTTATCCTCTTTAACTTTGGTCCTCAGAGATGGAGGTCTGAGGAGTCTGCTCTGCCTCCATTGTACCATTCTGCTTGGTAAAACCATCTTGGATCCCTGGAACTAGAACATGGGAAAATGTTGTTTTAAGGTTGTTGGTTGGGCTGAATGCATTAGAAAAATGGGACATAACACCTGCTCCCAGATTCCACTCTCATTTCATTGCCGGCTCTGCGGGGCGCGGAGTCTTGGTCAACTTGACATTCCTTCCAGTATCAGTCATGGGACACACAGCACCTGTCAGAAGCGACTTTGATTTTGTAGTTGGCTGACTTGGCCACAAAAACCTGAGGTTTTTACTTGAGTCAAGTGTTTCTTGGTGGCCTGCCCCCTGCAGGGTGCAGCTTGCAAAGGGCCCTGAGGTGTCAGGTGCTTGCTATGCATCATGCTGTCCCTAGAGCTCCTGGAGGGACAGAGAAAACCACTCTCCCTCTAACTGTTGGCTGAACTGATAAGGATGATAAGGGATGGGGTGCAGAGAGATGAGGACCATTAAGCTTGAGTCAAGATGATGTGGTGTGATGGCAAGTTGACCGTGTTCCACAGCCACTTCTCTCCAGCGCTGGTGTATGAAGCCAGCACCACCAGAAGCTGTTGATTGGGAAACCTTTTTCTCCCCTTTTAGGGTACAAGTGCTTGATTGTGTTTTTAGTGTGAACTACTGATTATTTTGGGTTTCTGTTGAGGAACTTCCTGTGTCCCTGTGTCTATACCGTAGCGCTTGGTCTGTGAGAGGGAGCTGCTCTGTGCTGGCGCCTCTCAACCTGGACACAGAGCCCACCTGCCAGTGTGGGCTTTCCCTCGAGGAGCTGCATCTCACCAGCTGTTGTTCCTCTTCCTCAGTCCCTGCCCAGCACCACCACATACCCTTCTCCTGTTCCTGGAGCTCTATCCATTGCCACATACTCCAGGGAATTCATATCTTTCTCTTTTCATTTTCCCAGAGTCTCAAGTCAGACGAAGAAGCTGAAAGTGCTAAAGAACCTCAGAATGAGTTGTTTGAAGCACGAGGTAAAGCCACAGCTTCATGGTTATGCTCCCTCCCTTTGACCAGTGCTTTGAAGTTCAAGGAGCTAGGTCATTGGTCAGTGAGCCAGCCATGTGTAATTTCCTGGGAAGCATGCCGAGTGGGTGGTGTCCCTCGGGGGCCCCTACTCCAGAGGTAGTCCTAGCTGGGAGGTGGTCACTTGATCCTCAACATCCCCTGAGGTCAGACCCTTAGAGGCCACTGGCCAAGTGGCAGTATGTTCTGCCACGTCTCATAGTCTGTGAGGGCCAGGGTGACCCCAGCTGACAGGCATGGCCTTGGGGGTCTCAGGCCTGTTGCACTGCCTTCTTGATATGCTGGGTCTGGGTACATCCTCTTCCTGGCTGTGTACAAGCAGTCTTGGCAACTGCCAGCAGGCCTGTCTGTGCTCCAGATGAAATGCCGGACATGGTCTTGGCCCTCGGGAGCCTTGGAGGAGCAACCAGAAGGCAGCAGCAGGTGTACATAAGCAGATTGCAGTGTGCCCACATGTGGGTCTGTGGATGACTTAATGATGCCTCCCACATGAGCGCGTCACAGGGCAGAAAGTGCGGAAACTTAATTTGAAGGGGGAGACCTGAATTGACCTTGAATTTCTGCTGCAGTAAAAAATCAGCAGGTGGAACCGAGCATGCTCTAGATTGTGGTCCTCAAGGACAAGGGCCACTGATAATTGTTTACCTCGGTGGATGTCAGAGGAAATGACCTGAGTGCCCACCTGGGCTGCTGGATGAAGCACATAGATCAGGAAGAGCAGCCAGGCCATCACATCCTAACTGCCTTGGCCTCAAAGTCTAAATTTTGGGTGGGAAAGGAAGGACTGGCCCGGAAGTTTGTGCATGGTGCAATTGGGGATCTTTACCCGCAGGTTCTTCCTAGCCTTGAACAGAAACCTTTCCAGTGGATTAGAACTGACAGTACTGCATGAAACTCACATCAGAGCTCAGAGGATTGATTTACCTCCTCCACCATCCCTGAGAAATAAACCCTCGTATCAGAGATGCTTTTATGTTTTTACTTAGAAATTTCAGACTCTTTAACCTGGAAGGGATCTCAAAGAAGGCATTTTCCTCAGCCCCGTACAATGTTGTTCATGAGCATACAGCCAGTCTGGACTAGCTGTGGAGGGGATGTCTGGCTTGAAGCATGGCTCATCAATGGATGGCTTCTCATGGGCACCTCCAGCATTGGTCTGTGTTCTTCTACAAGTTGTTTCTCCAGCAAAGCTCAGAAACATAAGTTTCTAGAATTTTTTTTTTTTTTAAACTAGTCTGGTTTTGGGGTTTTTTGTGTATGTGTGTGTGTTTTGGGTTTTGTTTTTTTTGTGTGTTTTTTTTTTTTTGGTAAATACAAATAATTCAGCCCTCTTTTATGTGCTTTCAGTGGTCTGACTTCTGACTTTAGGAGGTTCCCTTCAGAGAAAGCTTTCCCCACATGGACCAGAGATTCCCCCCCACTGACATTTTATTATGAAAATTTGCAAACACAGAATGAAGATGAAAGAATCATACTGTGAGCAGCCTTGTACCCATCACCTAGATTGCACCTTTGATGCTTTGCTACTCAAGTGTGTCCATCGCCCTGTCCATCTGATTTCAGAGTACATTGCCGGCGTTGGGGTGTTCCCCCCAGGTGCTTCCACCTGGAGCGTAGGGTTTACCTGTCTCTCTCCCTGCTTCAGGCCAGCTGCCAGCTTGGGGTTCTGAGGTCTTTGGGTGCCTCCAGAAGCCCTGCAGCCCCTCCTTGGACACCCCTGAGAGCCGGGTCCGGGGCATCTGGGAAGAGCTGGGCGTCGGCAGTAGCGGCCACCTCAGCGAGCAGGAGCTGGCCATCGTCTGCCAGAGCATCGGGCTCCAGGGACTGGACAAGGAGGTGAGAGGGGCCAAGGCAGACCACACTGGAGGATGGGCTCCTTGTGATGGTCAGGTTGGTTGGTGTTGGGTCTAGAGAGTCCCTTCACCCTCCAGACACTGATGTGGTTGTACCACTTTCTGGTCTGAAGTACTCTGATAACTCCCAGTGCTGCTGCTGAGGTCTGCACCCACGTAGGTCACGGGTGGCCTGCCTCACCGGCATCTGAGCATTTTCACTCATGACCGTTCCTCTGCCTAGAGTGCCCTTTCCCCTTCCTGTGTTGCCCAGTTCTACCACCCAGCCCAGATATGGCCCCTGAGGCAGGCTGTGCTCCCCAGGGGCTGTATTGACCCCTCCTTTACTCTTGTAGGGCCCGAGGGGAGGTGGGTAGGCCGTGGTGATGGGGAAGCTCCCCCTTGGTAAAATCCTCCTTAGCCCTGCTGTCCTTGGTAGTTCCTGAACCGCTGGGGGCCCAGGGCACCTTCCATATGTATGTCTTCCTCTTACCATCCAGCAAGTTTCTGGCATGATAGACTCTGGGTATTTGTGGAATTAGGAAGTGCAGGTGGCATCCATTCACAGCAGGGTGGAAACTGAGCAGGTGTGGAGATGTCAGCCCAGAACCAAGGGAGGTCAGGTGTGTCCCAGACGGTTTGAATTTGCTAAGGATGAGCAGACTGCCCAGCATGGGGAGGGAAGGTCTGGGTGGTGGTGGCCTCAGCACAGGTATGGCGGCTTTTGTCTAGGAACTGGAGGATCTGTTTAACAAACTGGATCAAGATGGAGACGGCAGAGTGAGTCTTGAGGAATTCCAGCTTGGCCTATTCAATCACGGGCCCACTTCACTTCCAGAATCTTCCACTCCTGTCAAACCGAGCATGTCCTGGTCTCATTACCAGGTAAAATGGGATGATTGAGTCTTGAACCACAGCAGTAGCTGCTGTCACTCTCTGGCCTTCAGCATCTTCACAGACCTGGGAGTTGGGGGGGTTATGTACATGTGCGTGTGTAAGTGGGAGGCCATGTGACTTAGATTCTAGAACCACACAAGTCTTGGGGCTGATCTGGCATTGCCCCTCCCTAGCTTTGTGTCCCTGATAGTTACTTGCCTTCTCTGAGCCTCAGGCTCTTCATATGCAAAATGGGTGCCTGCCTCCTGGGGATTTTTTGAGGAATACATGGCAGTTCCTTGGTTGTGGGATAGGCTGCCTTCCAGTAGGAGAGCTCCTTCTCTCCTCCCTGTTGCAGTGCAGTGAGGGCATTCCATATCTTCCCTAGGAGTAGCTCTCCAGGTACTCCTTACCCTATGTTCTCCCTGTCCTGTATTCCTAAATCTTCTCTCTCATACAAATACCAGGTCTCTGCAGATGGAGGAGAGCAGATTTTAGGCAGCTTTTTAAATTGTGATCTGGTTTGGTGACCATTGGCTTAGCATTTGGTTTTTCTCCATCCCATGACAGGAAAACCTCCCTCTTCCCCCACAGGGCATGGTTCTCTGAAGAGTCTTGCTGACGTGGCTAATCCCATAGTTTGTCCTGCACCACCCGTAGTGCGGTGGTGCAGGACCAGTAATGTTCTCTGCTAGGCTGGGTAATCTGAGAGTCCAGTTTCTGAATCTGAACCTGATGAGAATGGACAGAGAAGAAACTAGGAGCATTAAAGGAAGATGTCAGACCATGTAAGGTCAGGCCACAGTGAAGTCCCACCGGGTCATGCTTAGAGCCAGTGGAAGGAAGGTGCCTCCTCTGTGATGGAGCTGCCTCTGTTCCTGTGTCCCAGTGAGGAGGCACAGCGGACAGGGCTCTGAGCCGCAGGGCACAGGCATGAGGCCAGGCAGGACCCACCTCTAATCAGAGGCAGGGCCCCAGGGAAGCCCTGACTGTCCAGGAAGTGCTCTGAGCCAACACAGCTGCAGGTGGAGGGTATTGCATCCTGTTTATATGGGCTCCGGCATGACATGGTGCTGCTGGGCCTCAGGTATGTGGCCCAGCCCCCACCTTCTCCTGTCAGGCCACGATGAACCTGTCCTCAAGCTCACAGTCCTCACAGAGGAAACAGGTGGGAGGGAGATAAGGGTGGTCAGGGTGCATTTAGGTATCTGAGCTTTTCCACACGGCCATGGCCACGTTCCCGACTATTCTTGAGCTACCCTCTCCCCTTTTGTAAACCGGGTCAAATGCCTACTTTGTAGGGCTGTAAAGTACTTAGCACAACTTAGTGAGCACCCAATTCCTGAGTAAGTGTTTATGGAGAGGTAGGAACACAGCTGAGAACAGATGAGGGCATGTGGGCCTGTGAGCACCTGCTGAGGACTGAGTGTGGGGAGAGGACATGGGGGGCTGGGAGGGGCCGTCAGAGCAGAGCCCTGGAAAGCACAGCCATGGAAGTGTTGGGGGAAAGTGCTTCAGGCAATGAGACAAACTTGGAATGTTTGGTAATAGCAAGAGACTCCTGTGAGGAGGGTTGAGAGGAGGCCAGCACGGAGGGGAGGCCTGGGAGTGTGGCAGGAACCGTGGTGGCCAGAAAGGAGCAGCTGCTCCTAATTCCTGTGGCCCCAGACAGCAAATGCTTGTTCTGCCTGGGGCAGAAAATCTTTTTTTTTCTTAATTTTTTTTTTTTTTAAAGATTTTATTCATTTATTTGAAAGAGAAAGAGAATGAGTGGCAGGCGGGAGGGAGTGGGCAAAGGAAGAGGGGGGAAGCAGACTCCCTGCTGAGCAGGGGGCCCGATGGGGGGGCTCGATCCCAGGATGCTGGGATCATGACCTGAGCCAAAGGCAGACGCTTAACCAACTGAGCCACCCAGGCGCCCCGACAGAAAATAACTGCTTGACAGATTCTTATAGCCCCTAAGCCTCATAGGTCAGCTTTCTGGCCAAGAGGTTTTTTTCCCCTTCTTAAGACTCCCCAACTGGTGGTTCAGTTGGTTGAGCATCCGACTCTTGATTTTTTGCTCAGGTCTGGATCTCAGGGTCATGAGATCGAGCCCCACATCAGCTCCAGTCTCAATGGGGAGTCTGCTTGCCCCTCCGCCCTGCTCGCACTCTCTCTCTAATAAATAAATCAGTCTTAAAAAAACAAAACCCAAACTCCTCAGTTCTGTCAGCTGTGAGATGTGTTTCTGAGGCCTGGGGAGACCTGTGACTCTGGGCCATTCTGCCTCCTCTCTTCAAGCCCGTCTTGGGTTTCTTTCCACAGGCTGGATCTCCTGGCATTGGCGGGCGCCTTTGAGAGGCCAGGTGCACACCATTACTGAATCGGGGAGAGAGGTTAAAACCGCTCATGACTCCCACGAAGCAGCTCGTGCTGACCAGTCAGGCCACACGGGCACTTGGATGGGTTCCCAGGGCAAGGCCTCTGGTGGACGGTAGGAAAGGAGGCACCAGGGTCTTTGAGAAGGCAGCGGGCTGGGTGTCTGGACCCCTAGGTTCAAATCTCCGCTTTGTTGCCTGCAGAGCTTTGCAGTCTTGGGCACACCGTGCGATGGTGCCACGCCTTTGTTTCCTAGTCTGGGAGACTGGGCTAACAGTCACTGTGTGAGTGGTTCTTACCCGGCCTCAACGAGACAGTGAAGGGCTGAGCACAGGCTGTTGAGGTCAGAAAAATCTTAAAAATGAACAGGAGGCTGAAGTGCTCACAGGTACCTTTGCTTTCCCTGCACACAGGTCCTGCAGGAGGGTGGCTGCCAGACCGCCACGACGTCGTCCCTGGTGTCTGTGTGCTCAGGCCTGCATCTCTTGTGCAGCATTGATGATGGCACCGGATTTGCGTTTCCTGAACAGCTCATCGCCCTGTGGGCCCAGGAGGGGATTCAGAACGGCAGGGAGATCTTGCAGGTCTGGAACTGGTCCCTTCCCAGCTGCCCCAGGAGAGCATCCAGGTAGCATGGGGCCGGTGGGGGACCTTGGGGCCCTCTGCCCACAAAGGAGGCTGGACAGAGAATCCCAGACACATAGGGCCTGAACTCTCTGCAGAGAACCCCATGTAGGAAAGTCCTATTGGAATCGTTTTCTTTATTTTTTGCTATCAAAATATAGGAGATTTTGGGATGCCTGGGTGGCTCAGTCGGTTAAGCATCTGCCTTCGGCTTGGGTCATGATCCCAGAGTCCTGGGATCAAGTCCCAAATTGGGCTCCTTGCTCAGCGAGGAGCCTGCTTCCCCCTCTGCCTGCTGTTCCCCCTGCTTATGCATGTGCTCTCTGGCAAATAAATAAATAAAAATCTTTAAAATATAGGAGATTTTAGCTTAAAAAGGTAATAAATAAGAAGCAGAAAATCAACAGTCTGAAACAAATCCATTTGAAAGTAGGTTTTAGTATACTGACATTCCTTTCAGTGCGTTGTTAGCCTTGGAGATGTTCTGCTTACCTAGATGAGGGCGTCAGTCCCAGACAAGGGAAGGAAATTTCCTTCCTTGTGGTAGAGACTCTTACTGGATGTCACAGACTCAGTAGTCTGAGTTTTTCCACTTGCTGAGGACAAGCTCCATAGTGAACCCAAATTCCGTCAGAGCTGCCCGTCAGCCTGGGCAAGCTGTTCTCCCTGCATAGCCCCAATTCGCCCAGACCCTCCCTCCACTGGGTGGGGCATGGAGAGGTGCGCTGCCTGGCTGTCCTCAGGGGAGGCCAGTCTGACCTCCCCCAGGGACACGGCCAGACCCTTGGGGTTTGGAGGGAGCTTGCTCTGGGGGCAGGACAAGGGTGAGGGAAGAACACGCTAGGTGGAAGTGTATGTGGTAAGCTGGATTGATGATCTTCATTTCCAAATTTCGCTTTGTGTTGTTAAAAAAAAAAGTGTCAACTTTTATAGAAAATTATAAAATAATGAAGCCTGCCCCATTTTTGCTCCCATTCTGCAGGAGCAGCAACCTAACAGCTTAGTGGGAGTTCTGTAGAGCCTTTCCCCAGCACAGAAAAGAAATACATATTTTAGATATTCCAGCTTTAAAATTTTTTTTTGCAAAATCGGTGTACTATGTATCTTGTTAATTTAAGTTACCTTTTTCCTCTTGTACATGTAGATTTTTTTTCTGTTCTAAATCTTGGCATTTAAAATGTACATATATCTTCGTGTTCCTATGCTGGTATTTCTTTGTAGGCCAGACTCCTAAAGTTATGAGTTTTAACTCTTGATAGGCTTTGTCATATTACCTCTCAAAATGTCCCTATTAGCACAAACTAACAATACATGGAGGAGTCCAGCAACAGCCTGTAAGATGGTCCCTCTTACACCTTGGGTCAGTCTCTCCTGGACCTAAACTCAGCCATTGCTGAGTGTGGCTACCCAGCAGCCTGGGCAGAGCCTGGACAGCTGGACAGGCCTGGGCCCCTGGTCCTTAGAACTGTTCTGAGAGCCGGAGGCTGAGCCTGGATCACTGGATTGGCCCCCAGAGAGGGTAGAGAACAAAAGGGTTCATGGTTTGGGGATTCTCCCTGAAACGATGCTCCTGATTCCCTGTCATTTGGAGGTGGGTCGGCTGCCATCATAGCCTGACAGATGGTGAATCTCAAATTTGCCTCTGACATTTCATAACTTACCCTTTTTATTGCTTTCCTGCTGTCACAGATATTTCCAGGTCTTTAGCAATTTATAATTTACCAGTTGCATTCTGAGTTTGCTTCCATTTTGTTGAAAGGCAGAGGTGTTTACTGAACTCTCAGCAGTTGGCACCAAGCAAGGACCTGTGAAATTTGTGATTGTTATTTACTCCTCACATGGCCTGGAAGGTGTTTCTGTCTCATGTGACGGATGGGGAGGCTGCCTGTGCACACACAGCCAGGGCAGGAGCACCAGCAAGTGGGGCAAGTGTTCCAGGTCCTGGCATGCCAAGTCAGGCCCCTTCCTGCCTGTAACACTCTTAGAAACTGCTTACCTGTGACATTGGTGGTCAAGACCACAGGCTGCTGCCCTGCCAAGAGCACCAAGCACACTGTGACTAAAAAAGAAAGGCCTTTCTGTTTAGGAAGCACCCAGCTGGGTGAGCCCTCTGCCTGGATGTACCCAGCTTCTCAAGACCCCTGGCCATTTTGGGGCTCTTCTTATCCAGGCCCTTGGGAATGCTCTGTGAGGAGGCCGAGGATTGGTTATCTGTCCCTCCTCAACAAATCACCATTGAATTATGCCTTAACACACAATGATGGTTCTCATCTGGAGCAGCTTCTGTGGGTCAGGAATTTAGGAACTGTGTAGTGGGTGGTTCTTGCCCAGGGTCTCCCCTGAGGTTGGTCAGAGGCCTTGTGAGGGCCTGACTGGGGCTGAGCTGCCACGTCCAAGCTGGCAGGTTGATGCTTGCTATAGTAGGAGGGCCTCCATTTCTTGCACATGGCCCCTTCCTTGGGCTGCTTGAGCTTCCTCAAAACTGGGCAGTGGCTTCCCTGGAGCACCATCTCAGAGAGAGTGGGGAGGAGCCATGTGTCTTCCACACCCCAGCCTTGGAAGCCCTATGCTGTCACCTCCTCAGTACCCTGTGGGTCAGATGGGCTGTCTCCGCTCGACGTGGGAGTGGAGGACCTGGGTATGGATGCCAGGAGGCAAGGGGCACAGGGCTGTCTTGGAGGCTGGCTCCTACCCACGCTGTGTGGCTTTTGATGACTCCTTTCTTCTTGATCGGGAAGCTTTTGCCGTACCCTCTGTCTGGTACATGATTTGCTGGGCCATCTGTACTTGAGGAATAATAGCTTGAGCTTCCCAGTTACTCCATATGCTTCACCCTGACGTCATTTCTCTTCAGAAGCACTATGGGAAGTGGGGGAGTAGTGGAAATCAAGTCTCCATTGTATAAGTTAAAAAAGGGAGCATGCCTCATTCCCACGTGTGATCTGGGAATGCTGTGGCTCTTTCTCTATAGGCCCTGACATGGTACCTGCCTCTGGACTGGGCAGGCAGGGGGCTCCTGAGCTGGGGCATAACTGATTTTCCGATGTCATAGAAAGAAGCAGGGGTCAAGAATACAACACAAAAAAAGTAAATGCAGCAAGTGTTGTTATTGTCAGTTGAGCAGAGGGGTATATGGGTATGGTTTGTTATTACTGTGGTGCAATACATATAAATTGTTTTATTCTCTAATTTTCAAAATCCTGAGGGGAAAATAGTGCTCCACTCTATGGAGTGCTGGGCCATGGCTCACCTGTCAGATCATTTCTCTACCCACCTGTACACATATTTCACAGAGATTCTCTTAGCTTGAGGTGATAAAAACTCAACTCTAAATGGCTTAAGTAGAGTTAGGGGCTCACCTGGGCAGGCACTTGGAAGAAGTCATCCCAGGGGTGTTGTCAGAGCTCTCTTCCATCTCTCCTCTGCTTGCTTCTTGGTGGCACTGAGCTCAGGCCAGGTCTCCTCATGCAGCTCCCAGGGCCAGCAGGGTCCATACAGCACATTTTCTCACAGGGAGAAAGGCCTCTCCCCAGGCCTCCTATCAATCCCCATGACGTCCTCTGCTTGGGACATGCCCCTTCTGTGTCAGTTACTTTTTCAGGAAGAGGATCTCTGTCCAGCCTGGGTCACATCCACATCCATAAAATGAGTGGGGACAGAGGCAGAGACTTTACAGACAGAAAAGTTGTCAGGTGCTACCTACGGGACAGTGCAGATCTGGGCCTTGCCTGTTCTTAGGAAAGCCAGGAAGTGTTTGGAGAAGCCACACATCCTTTCCTGCCCAATGGGCTTTGCTATTTCCAGAGTCTCGACTTCAGTGTGGACGAGAAGGTGAACCTTTTGGAGCTGACCTGGGCCCTTGAGAATGAGCTCATGATGGTTGGTGGTGCCACTCAGCAAGCGGCCTTGGTCTGCTACCGCCAGGAGCTGAGCTTCCGCCAGTAAGAGCCCAGTGTGGTTGGGTGTGGGGGAGGTGGGTACAGCTGGCCAGGCTGCTGGGTGAGGGGCAGTCCTGGGAAGTGGGCATCCTGCCCTTGTCCATCCCAAGCCAGTCCCAGGGGGGCAGGAGGCTTGACAACACCTTTCCCACTGGCTCTCCTTTAGAAATGGGCATTTTTGGGGGGACAGGAAAGAGCTAAGCACTCCCTGTGAGAGTGACATCCCCGTGAGTGATGTGAGGGGGGCTTGCTGCTTGGGCTTTTACAGCCACAGAATTTCAGGGTCACTGGCCTGTCTTCACACTTGGTGAGCAGCTTAGAAACTGATGTCAAGGTCCTCCCTTAGCCCCTTTTAGGAAGGTTCCAAGGGGGCATCTGAACCTGACACTCATCCTGCTGACACTTGAGCTCTTGGGTGCAGAGGCAGAAATCCTCCAGTTGGCAGGGATGTGTTCCAAGAGCAGGCAGAGGGCTCCTGAGCTGGGGCGGCTGGCAGGAGAGAACAAAGTGTTCCTCAACATGGTCACCAAGAGCAAAGTGACGGGGGCCGAGAATGCGTTCCATTTTAGTTGGGTTCGGCTTTCGATTAGCTGAGTATTCAGGCCATCGGGACAGTAGATTGGTGTAAAGATCATTTTTGTGTTTATTGATGTTCCAAAGCTGCAGAAAAGAAATCATGATTTCTCTCCTCAAGACTTTGCATCCCATTAGGTGCTGACAGGCGAGCTTTCTGACCTTAGGCAGTTCTGCAAATAGGACCACAGAAAGACTGTGCCTTGGGAGGGTAGAGGGAGAAAAGCTCCATGCTCCTTCAGGGGAAGAAATGGTCACCAGAATGGCAGGTGCCAGGGGTGAGTGCAGAGCTGCAGGTGAAGCCTGCTCTGGGTGACTCACCTAGATGTCAGGCTGCAGGTGTCAGGGTGTGACCAAGGTAGGATGATGGGTGGCCAGCCTTCTCCCCTTCATGTGTCTAGTCCTGGATTCGGTGCTGGGGATCCCTGGGAGAGGAGACAGAAGGGGGCATGGGTAAATTCTCACCTGTTCTGGGCCATCTGGAGGTGTGGCACGCCGTAAGGCTCTAGGCTCAGAATTTCTTGGTTCAGAAACTTTCTAGAAACCTTCCTTGACAGGTCATTTAGCCTCTCTCTCAGTATGTGCATCTGTAAAAGGGGCATAGTAGTTCTGGAAACCATTTCTAGGAGATGGTTGGTGGTGGCAGTGAGGTCAGAGCACAGCACTGCCCATGCTCAGTGCCCAGTTAATCATTCATGCAGACACAGGGCTTGCTGGGCCCAGCGCAGGTGTCCCCATCTGAACCTGTCTCCTTCCTGTGGCAGGGGGCAAGTGGAGCAGATGGCAAGGGAACGAGACAAGGCGAGGCAGGACCTGGAGAAAGCCGAGAAGAGGAACTTGGAGTTTCTGCAAGAGATGGATGACTGTCACTCTGCCCTAGAGCAGCTCACGGAGAAGAAGATCCAGTAGGTCTTGTGGTCATACCCAAGTCCAAAACTGCAGCTCCTTAGCAGCTGGGTGGTGATTTCCCAACCCTGGCCACGGGTGGGTGGTGGATGTGGGGCTGCCACTAGGTAAGGCCATGGTCATGAACATGGTGGAGCTGAGGCCCTCCTGTTTCACCTGAGCTGGTAGAAATCTAGAAGGTTCACCTCTGGGGATGTCCTTTCTTGAAAGAAGAGGGGTACATTTAAAAAAGCAGCCTTGCTCTTTATGATGTGGGGACATGTGCAGGGGCATCCAGCTATGTGTGCCTGTGGGCTGCAGGGAAAATTACTATTTTCTACTTTATTTATGGGGTCTGTCACCTTAACCTGGGTCTTCTGTGTGTGCCTGTGGCTAGTGACATAGATGAATGTTTTGAAAGAGGGCTGGTGAATGATTTTGGAGCCTGATGAAAGGAGCCTGACATGGTAGAAGGAGCCCAGAGCCCAAAACCTGACTCCAGGCATTGTGAGGTACAATGGGTTAAGCAGACCCCTGGTGAGTGGTCTGCTCCATTGGTGGGGTTGGTGGCTGGACAGACCAGAGGGAAGGATTTCTGACCTTTTATGGACACAGAACCCACCTCTCTGGTTTATTAGCCAAAATATGAAGAAATCCAGCCCCTGAGGATCTCCCAGGTTGGGGCAAGCAGGGGAGGGGCTTTTCACCCCCCTGTGGGAAACAGTCTATGCTAGGCTTCCCTAGCTGGCAGAGCTGAGCTGGTTGTTCACCTTCTGGAAGCTTTTGTCACCTGGAGGTGTCCCCTCAAGGATAGCAAAGGGTGTGCACTGTGGAAAAACCAGTGTGCTGTACTCAGCTCTCAGTAGTGGTGGTAATGGGGGCACGGGGAGGCTACCGGGGTCCCCACCTCATTCTCCCTCACCAGCCCTTGCTGTGATCGTGGGTGGACGGAGCCCCTGAGATTCCTCATCTGTGAAGTAGGAATGGTGACAGACCGTCCTCTGCATGGGAGGGTACCAGTCAGTGTGTTTGAGCCCTCAGTGGGGTTTGGTATGTCATGCCTGTGGGTTAGCTGAGCATGGGCCTCCACGAAATGTATGACAAAGTGAAGCAAGAACTCAGGTGGTATACATGGCTTCAGCGAGCACGTGTCTGAGAGCTTGTGACCAGCCATCTCATTCCTGTACCTCCGGGATGTTGCCTCTCACTGTCTTGTGTGGTTGTGGCATTTGAGGGGAACACTTCTCTCACACCAGCCCTGCCGGTAGCGTTGGCATGTATTGTGGCATGACGTACATGAAGTCCCTGCATACACGGCCCTGGGTGGGCAGTATACGGGCCTTCACAGGACCTTTTACCTGCCCCCATCCACCTTACTGCAGGCTTCTGAGCACCATCCAAAAAAGGCCTGTTCCTGCCATGTGTGGGGACTGTCACAGTCACAGTTACAAAGCCCTCCCCCTCATGGCTCACAGCAGGAGGGATTGGGGGGTGCAGCCAGCTTTCGTGGGGCTTTGAGGTTTGCAACGTGGCCATAGCAGATGGGGGGTGGTTTCATGGTCACACAGGACCAGTTGATTGTGTCCAACTGAACAGTAGGGTTGAAGACCAAGAGCCTGTTTCATCTTCACCAGAGATGCTGGGCACCTTCACTGTGCAGCCAGAGGTCTTGGAGGTTGAGGAGCCGGTTGGTCCTCTAGGAAGGAGCCTGTTCCAGCCTGTGAAACTGTGCTGTGTTGTGCTCCTGTTGTGCACTGGGTGTCCTGACTCACCAGCCACAGTAACCCCAAATAGGCCATTTTAGCCGTATTTTTCAGCTAAAGAAACTGAGGCCTGCAGCAGTGCAGTAGCTTGCCCACAATCACAATGTGGACTAAAAGTTGAAGCCAGGTCTCCTGTCTCCTTGTCTTATGCTGTCTCTGAGATAAGAGCATGAGGCCCTGGCCTGCTGTGTATTGAGAGTGTAAGAAAACAGACCATTAGGCAGGAGGAACACTGAAGGGTAGAAAGCTTGTCACTTCCCAGGCTCGGGTCATCTGGAGTCACATACCGCCATCCTAAGTCAGCACATGAGGGTCCCACTGGCTCACCCTCCCATAGGCCCCGTGTACTAGGAGTTCGAAGGAGGGTACTGGCTGTCCCTACTGATCTGCGGGGGGAGCAGGCTCTGTGCTAAGCAGGGCCACACATCTGAGTCCACGGGCCTCTGGAATCCCAAAGGCCTGGGATGCTCTTTCCTTCCTGGGGAGGCTGGGGAAGGCCAGATGCAGGAGGTTGAGATCCTGTTCTGCTCACCAGTGGAAGTCCACACCTACCTCTGCCTGGTGTGGAGAAGAAGTATGCAAGGGATGGCGTCAAGGGCATAGTGTGGAAGAGTGCGTGTGTGTATGTGTAGTGTGGAAAAGTACATCTGTGTGTGGGCGTAGTGCGGAAGAGCACGTGTGTGTGGATGTAGTGCGGAAGAGTGTGTGGGCGTGGTGTGGAAGAGTGTGTGTGTGTGTACAAGTGTGTACACATGCATACTTATTTCCACTGTTTCTGCATGAAAGACTCTCACAGGATAATGGTGATGTTCAGGAGACCAAAACAGTAAGGATCCTTTCACCAAATTTTCAAAAATATTTCCAGTCAAACCTGAGAAAATAAATAAACATGATCTCACTGGAAGGAGGTGTTAGTAAGGCTGTGGAGCCCGGGTTGGGAGTCCGGCCATGACACCTTGACTTCTGCATGGATGCTCTGGCTGTGGCCTTGCTGAGCCCCCCTTATCTCAATGTGGAACATGGGCGGTGGTATTTATCACAAAGGAGCATTTAGTTAAGAAATAACTGCATTTTGTTTCTGCTCCTGTCAGCAATCAACAGTCTCTATTCAGCTGATTCCCTTATAGCATCCAGCCGTAAAGCCTCCCTTTTGACCGCTTCTTACTGAGCAAGTTCCTGTGGGTGGAATTAGAATGTTTAACCGGCTGGCTCTTGCAGCTGCCGTTGTATGATTTTGCTCACCTGACATAGTCTCCTTAGCTCCCTGACCTCACAAAACAGGGTGTGAGGTCAGCATGGGTTTCCACAGAGTGAGATTCTCATTAAAAATTAGGAACTGAAGGAACCTTGGAAGAAGACAACAGAGGGATTTTTCCTTTCTCGGTGCCTCCCCCACCTCCTCATGGCCCTTCTAACAGCATGGGTCTGTTGTTAGACTCCTCACTGACATCAGAGGCTTGAGATCCCCCCTGAGCAGGAGCAGGACTGATTCTGGTGCCACTGAGACCTTGGGTCGCAGCCTCATGGGGACTTTGGGGCAGGAGGGGCCCACAGGGGCCTGTCTAGACTGGAGCAGCCCGATTCCCACATGATCTTCCCATCTGCCCTGTGCTGTCACCTGTCAGCCCTTGGTTAATGTTGTTCAAGGGAGAAAACTCCTTTTTAAAGAATTATGTCCAAGAGCTAAATCTAAGTTGATTTTAGATGATCAGTTTAAGTAACTGAAAACTGATTTGCTTCGTCACAGCATGTTAGGCTTGATTCTCTCCCAAGCACATGGGAAGAATTTTATGATGTCTTTCCTGGGGTCAGAGAATCACAAACTTGAAAGCCTTATCTTGGTCTGAGGATCTGTCGAGGAATCCATGAAGGCCCTGTGAGTTAGGATTTTGCCCCATGAGTAATGGAGCATTATCAGGAGTTTCTAGAAATAGCTGTTATGGCTGCATTAGGTTTTTTTTTATTAGAAGAGTAATAAATGATACATGTTCATTGTAGAGAATACAAGTAAAAATAAAAGCAGAAATTTTACCCAGAGGTTATCACTCCTGACGTTTTTTATGTCCTTCATTTCTTTTTTCCATGCACATAATTATTTACAAAATGATATCATATCATATATGCTTTTGTGATGACCGCAGAGCATCCCATTATGTGTATCTGCCATATTTTATTTATCCATTTTTCTTTTGTTGGATATTTCTAAAGTTTTTAAAGAATGGAGTGATATGATCAAATAGGTGTTTTTAAAACTACCCCAAAGGTTTGTGGAGTGTTACATTAGCTAGATTTGTCTTATTCTTTTCCCCTAAGTAACAGCTGCCCTTTTTCCGTCTCCTTTCCTGCTGGGTGTTCTTTCCTTCAAGTTCTGAAATGAGAAAGTCTAGACTGTCTGAAGGGGGCTGGAGGACAAACCCCTGTTGTTCTCTGCTGAGTTATTAACATTACCAAGCTCTCTGCTGAATGAAGTTAAGAGTTTCATTCATCTTCAGTCTAGATAGACTTCGTTTTAGAAATCCTGCTAAACAACTGTTTCAGTGATAAAACTAAGATTTGGGGGTGCCTGCGTGGCTCAGTCGGTTGGGCATCTGCCTTTGGCTCAGGTCGTGATCCTGGGGTCCTGGGATTGAGCTCCATGTCAGGATTCCCGCTCGGCGGCAAGTCTGCTTCTCCCTCTGCCTCTGCTCCTCTCCCTGTTCTTGCATGTGCGCTACTCTCTCTCTCTCTCAAATAAATAAATAAAATCTTAAAAAAAAATAAAACTAACATTTGGCATTTTTTTCTGCTGATAGAAATGGTTCTTACAAAAGAGAAGGCAGAAACTGAGGGGGGGATAATGCCTCCTACCTTCTCCTCTGATTGCTTTGGGATTCACTGTCCAGGTTTTATGTTGCCTGGGTCCTGCATGAGAGGCTTACTTCGGTACACATTTGGTTATCCAGGCTGCCCTGGTGTGAGAGGTGGTGGAAAGGCAGAGGACATCAGAGAGGTCTGCCCACAGAGAGCATTGGCTAGCTCACTCCAGAGGCTCCAGGGACCTGCTGGCTTCCCTTGTCACCTTCCCTAGCCCTCGGGGTGGGGGGGGGCATCCACCATCAGGCCCAGGGTAGGGGGGCTTTAAAGGAGGGCCCCTGCCCTTACAGCATATGCAGTTTAGCTGTGGTTCACTGACCCCATCTGTCAAGCGGGAACAGTTGAGTCCCAGACAGTGTGTCCAAGTGCTACAGGCAGGAAGGTTCCAGGGAAGAAAGGCTATGTTGCCTGGGAGATATCCCTGGAGAGGTGGGGGTCAGTATGGGCCTGGGGGGCCCCTTGGGACCCAACATGACATATCATGTGTGTGTGCCTTGCAGACACCTGGAGCAGGGATACCAGGAAAGGCTGAGCCTCCTGCGGTCCGAGGTGGAGAGGGAGCGTGAGCTGTTGTGGGAGCAGACCTGCAAGCAGAGGGCTGTGCTGGAGAAGGACCTGGAGCACCTTCGGGCCGAGGAGGTCAGCCTCCAGGAAAAGCTGACCCTCGCCCTGAAGGTAGGTGGGGAGCAATGTCTCCCCAGGTCCTCCTGCCCTGAATGACAGAATGGAGATCGCCTGAGGGTTCATCCTCCCATACCCCACATTTTCCTAGTCAGGGACTGAATACCTCCTAGGAATCTTAAAGTTTACATTTCCATAGTAGGGAAATGCCTGGGATTTCCAGCTGAGGAACGTTGGCTGCAGCCACAGAGATAGCACATTTCTCAGCCAAAGCAGAAGGGGTCTTGGCTTTTCCACAAGAGGCATTGCCCCTGCCTTCTCTCTGGTCATGGGGCCAGCAGGATTGGTTGAGACCTGTGTGGCTCAGGGGGACAGTGGTCAGAGAGGGTCAGCAGCAGCCAGCTTTGCTGCACCGTGCCCCCCCTCCCCCCACCACCGGAGACCAGAGCATCTGTGGGGTCAGCAAAAGACCAAAACCTAAAGCCCACCCTGCTGGAGTCCTGGGTGTGTAGCCTGAAGCAAACGGGGTTTTCTGGGCTTTGGTGAATGTCCTACGACCCACAGACACCCCACATTTGGTTCTATCCAGTGAGGTGTCCCCTGGCCCCATGTCCCCTGGTCCGTCCTGTGCTCCTGCCTTCTTCCTGCTCTCCTAACGTGGAGCCTGCAGATTCTTTCCACATTTGCCTGGTCTCTGTCTCCCTGGGGGAGAAGCTGTGTCCTTGCCCGAACTGTTTCCTGTGTCAGTGGGCACTGACACCCTCCCCTGGGGGACATCTGAGCTGTGAGGGTGCCATTTCCAATACTTCATTTAGACAACGGCTCAGAAAGGATTGCCCCCAGCCTCTTCTTGTGTTACTCATGGCCTTCTTGAGCATTCAGGCCAGGAGAAGAAGGGGCAGTGGGGAGAGCAACAAGCACTGGTGAGGGGCTCTGTGGGGTTGGTCCCCAGCACAGACTCCCCTGCAGGTGCCAAGGAAGTGAGCACCAGTCACGTTGCATTTGCAGGTTTCTTCCTTGACTGTGAGTGCTGCTGGGAATAAGTCTCTGACGCAGAGGGGAGACAGGCTGCCTACAGCTCTGTTCTTCACCCCCAAAGCCTGGCAAACTGCTGGTTTGTGTCTTGTAGGAAAACAGTCGATTACAGAAGGAGATTATTGAAGTTGTGGAAAAGCTTTCGGAATCAGAGAAGCTGGTCTTGAAACTGCAGAATGACCTGGAGTTTGTGTTGAAGAATAAGGCAAGTCCTTTTGCTGATTCTGAGTCTCTGGGTCCTGGGTAAAAAGTGTCAGGGACTTGAAAAAGAATACATAGGTGAGTGAAGTCAGTTTTTTCCTACTACAATTCTAGAATGGAGAGAAAATCAGCAGGGCAACTTTCCTTGTGTTTTCTTGCTCTTTGTGCCAGTGCAGGGGTACTGGTACACCCTGGTGACACCATGCCCGTTGAACATTTAGTGACAGTGCCATCTGCACAGACCCCTGTGATGGGTTCTCAGTGGTGAGGGGCACAGAGGAGAGCTCCATGTCCATCACGAGGTGCCCCCATCTGGCCCTACCCTTCACCTAGAGTAAAGAAGGGGAGGAGAGGTGTTGCACAGAGAGGTCCAGGCAGGGGGTGTCCCAGGCAGCTGAGGTAGGAATGCACCCCAGGCTCCAGTTGGGAGTATGATCACCTTCCATAAATTCAGAGCATCCTTTTGCCTTGAGATCTTTTAAACGAGAGGAGGGGGGGGGGATGGAAGGCTATACTTGGAGATGCTGAGCCTAGTGGAAGGAGCATGAGAGGGTGATAGCACACATTCCACCTGGCCTGAGGTCCTGTCTGTCATTTTCCTGTGTGGGTCTGACTTTTAGCTGGAGCCACAGAGCACAGAGCTCCTGGCCCAGGAGGAGCGGTTCGAGGAGGTCTTAAAGGAGTATGAGCTCAAGTGCCGGGTACGTGCCCCGCCCAACCCCCTTTGCCATCCTGAGCCGTCACATTGCCTTTGTCTTGCCCTGCGACCATTGCTCTTGTCTTTGGTGCATGGAGCCCTCATGCACCCCTGCCCCACACCCCCCCAGCCCACTTTGCAGCAAGAGCAATGGTGCTGGGGAGGGTACTAAGAGCTTGGCGTTCCAGAGACTGCCTGGTGCCAGAAGGCCATGTAGCTCTCTTGTAGCCATGCCTGCTAAGAACAGGGTATGGAGCCCATGACACGGTGGATGGTGCAGGTCATCAGGGCCTGACTGGTTTAGACCTGGATAGTGGTGTGCAGGCCTTGTACTTTGCCTTCCTGCCTAGAAACGGCCTGTCATTCATGGTGGGCCACATTCCTGGCCTCCACATGAATGGTAGGTCAACAGGAGCATCCTTATATGAGCAGAGCAGGTGGAGCTTCTGATCTCAGCCTGTGTTCTACTGACGGGGCCTCCAAGTCTCATGTTCCATAAGGAGAGGGGACCCAACTTGCCTACGCGGTGCCCGTGCTCAGCCCCACCAGGGCAGGCCGAGGGTGTGAGACTGGCACCAGCTCTGAAGCCCCCCTCAGTGTTTGAAGGCACCATGCAGGTAGCCACACTTACCAGGGATCATCCATTCAGTTAGAGACACCACTGAGCAAGGCCTAGGTGATGAACCACATCAGTGGTGCTGAAACATATCATGACCCTGTTACACTCTTAAAATTAATTACCCAGGATCCCAACAGCTAAAACATTATTGTGTGATATTAAGGGTCTATTACCAATTCACTTCTTAATGATTTCCCTCCAAATTAAAGTCAGAATTGACTTTGTTCCTGTTGCATGTTGCTTTGGCAACACCAGAGGATAAAGGTGAGTGCATGCTGTTCTGGAGTGTGATGTGACCTACTGCTTCCTGCCCCCTGCTCTTTCCTCCACTCCAAACCCTGAATACCAGGGTACCCTTCTGAAAGTCCTGTGTGTGGTCAGCTGTGGCACCCTCCTCCTGAACCTCCTCGTGGGCGTATGCTAGGTTTGGGGTTGGGGGTCTGTCATGATGGTTGGATTGCAGTGACATGTCATGTTTCCTCCCTCGCTTTAAGCTTGTTGCCTTGATTTAGAGCCTGTAACTAACCATCGACTAATACATTACTTTAGTGCACTGGATCTTTCAAACACGCATAAACCCCATCTTTCTCTCACAGGACTCTGTTACTTAAAGAACTGTTATCATTTCACTTCTTCAAATTTGATTTTTTGAAACATCAGAAATATTGTACATATTAGTGTTAGTTAATCTATTTATTTAGAAATTGGTCTTTTCATTTTTTAACTATTTTTGGTTGTTTCAAACTTACATTTAGAGCATAAAAAAAACCTTTTTATCGGAAAATAATTTCTAATACATGAAGTTACAAAAGTAAAAACAGTGGCAGGCACACCTGGATACCCTTTGCCCATATTCACCTGTTGTTTACATCTTGCTCTGTGTGCTCATTGCATACTTGCTCACTTGTGTGCTATGTGTGGAAAATCACAGTGATTTTCTGAACATCTGAGAGGTATTGACATGCATCATGGGGCCACTCCACCCCTCAGCAGGTCAGTGCGCATTTCCGAAGAACAGGCTTAGTCCTCCTACCTTGCAGAGGTGTGCAGGTGCGCTAGAGTTGATTGTTTAGTGCTAAGGAGTTTTGCCAGCTTCTTGTTAAATCTTTGATAGCTTGAAATCAGCTATGGTGGGAGTTACTTAGACTACAGAAATGTGCAGAAGCCAGAAGTCTGGGCTTTTCTTCCTGAAGACCCCGCTTCCCATTCTGCCTAACTGTGGCACACTTAGTAACTTCATGATTCCCGCTGATACAATACTTTAACCTGCTGGTCGTATTTCAGTTTTGTTAGTTAACCTAACAGTGTTCTTTAGAGCCTTTTCCCCTGAAGTATAGGATCCAGCGTAGGGTCAGATGCTGCCTTTAGTTGTCATGAAACATTGTTTTAGACCATTCAGGCTGCTGTAATAGAAACAACATAGACTGGGGGGGCGTATAAACAAGAGATTTCGTTCCCACAGTTCTTGAAACCCAAGTAGTGAATTACAGAGACTACCTCAGTGGAGCTGCCTCACAAGATCACTTTATTTGTAGTAACAGGGAGACGGTTGGGAGTAATTAAAATACAGCCAAACAAGGGAAAGCAGGCTCCTTTTACTAGGGCTTGGGATGAATATTCAGAGGGGGATTTTCACATTATAATGAGGCTGAGGTAACTGTGGGTCACTTCTGGCACTTTCTGATTCATCTGTAGTCGGGCCTCCTCAGATGCTGTTTTTACCTTTCCAGCAGTTTATTAGTTTGTTTCTAAAAGGTAAGATTGACAGCTAGGCAGAAGGCTGTAGGAGTTTAGTTCCTAAAAGGTAAGATGGACAGTTAGGCAGAAGCTTCTACTAGAAATTTCCTGAGCCCTGGGGGTCAGGCGTGGCCCAGTGTCTAGTGACAGCTCTTTTCCTGCGACAGACTGAAAGCTGCCTTCAAGGGAGCTCTCTGGGGTCTCTAACACAAGGGCACTGATCCCATTCATGAGGCTCCGCCCTCATGACCTGATTACCTCCCAAAGCCCCCCTCCCCCCAACGCCTTCAAAATCTTCACTTTGGGTGTGAGGATTTAACCTGCCAATTGGGGGTGGAGGGAAGGAACATCCAGTCTACAGCACTTTCCTACAGCTTTTGTCTCTGATGTGGGTATTTTTATTTTATTTTTTTAAATTTTTATTTATTTATTTATTTTTAAGATTTTATTTATTTATTTGACAGAAAGAAATAGCGAGAGCAGGAGCTCAAGCTGGGGGAGTGGGAGAAGGAGAAGCAGGCTTCCCGCCGAGCAGGGAGCCCGATGCGGGGCTTGATCCCAGGACCCTGGGATCATGACCTGAGCCAAAGGCAGAGGCTTAATGACTGAGCCACCCAGGCGCCCCTGACATGGGTATTTTTAAAAAAAGTGATATTTTTAAACATTCTTATTTTGTCTTTTTCTGATATTTCCTTTGGATTAAATTGAGATTATGTGTTCTCAGTGGGACAGCATAGGTGATGTTAATTTTTGATCACCTGGTCAAGGTGTTACCTAATTTCCCCACTGTATAATTACTGTTTTTTTTTTTTCCCCCTCCAGTGCAACTAATGATCAGTCAGTGGGGAGACACATAAAGACCACATAAACATCCTGCTCTTCATTAGAATTTTCCCCGGATTTAGTGTCCACTTCAGTCTTTACCACAGTGATTGCCAAATGATGATTTCCCAAGCCCATTACCCACTCCACACCTATCAGCTGACCCTTGGAATTCTCCCGTGAGCCAGAGGAGTCCTGCTTCTCTGCTGTTTGCTACTGGAGCATCAATGATTCTGGGCTAACGGTGTTTTTACAGTCAGTCTCCAGAGGTAGAGACAACCTTCAGCCTTCCGCACAGGGCATCATCCAGCCTTTCCAAAGTCACTGCTCAGCATTTCCCTGTACTTTGTGACCAGGATATTTGTTAGCAAGGAAACCATGCTTTCTTTCCCTTGTTGCCAAATCCTCTTTCTACTTAACTGTCATTTTAGCTTTTTGTCATTTCCTTCAGCTCTCTCCCATTTCCTCGGTGAGGCTGCCTTTGGTTAAAAGGGAGTGTAAAATGTTAATCAGAGTTCTCTGTGGTTTCATGTTTCTGCGGTTGCCTTGGGTGGACATTGTAATGGAGGAGCGTGTCCTTGGTCAGAAACCCCAAATGCAGATTTTCCCTTTCTGCATTTCCAGTTACTGATGTGATGCTTGTGTGTCCCCAAATTCATATGTTGAAGCCTAGTCCTGCAATGTGACTGTGTTAGGAGGTGGTGGGCCTTTGGGAGGTCATTATGTCATGAGGGTGGAGCCCAGTGAAAGGTATTCGTGCTCTACGTAAGGGGTCCCAGAGAGCTCCCCCATCTGTCCCACCATGTAAGGACGCAAGAAAAGACGTCTCCGACCCAGGAAGCCCTCACCAGACACTAAATCTGCACCTCGGTCATGGACTCTAACCTCCAGAACTACGAGAACTAAATTTCTGTTCTTGATAAGCCCTGTCTGTGGTATTTTGTGATAGCAGCCCAAATGGACTGACACACACACCAACCTCTGACTGACGTCCCCACCATTATCCATCCCTGGGTGGTTCTTCATCTCCCCTTTATGTGTGTGCTTACTTAGGCCTAGCTTGTAGCCCCAGTCAGCCTGCTGGCACCCCCTTCCTCTCTGATGCTTCCCAGTGCTGCTGTTGAAGTCCCACCCTCCCCTCAGACCCTTAGTACTGCAGGATCACGGCAATGGACTTGTTGCCTTTCCTGGCTGATACAGTAGTACCTTTGGCACCCATAGGCACCCCAAGTAAATGTGAGTCCCTGTGGAAATAGGTGCCTGGCTCCCCAGCCCCACCAGACAACCCCTGTGTAGAGCTGGGGTCCACGGCTCGTGCCCAGGATTGCGCATGTCACCCTCATCAGTTAGAACTGGTGATGCTCCCTGCTGTGTCCTCCGAGCAGGGACGTCTATGCCCTGCATAGCACCTAAGAAAACCTGCTTTTTGGCACTGCTGAATTTGTGGGATGTGTGTATGTTTTCAAAATACCCCATACAAGGTACACAGGTAATTTTAAGCTTTTCCATAGGCACATTAAAGAATGTTAAAACAGGGGCGCCTGGGTGGCTCAGTTGTTAAGCGTCTGCCTTCGGCTCAGGTCATGATCCCGGGGTCCTGGGATTGAGCCCTGCATCGGGCTCCCTGCTCAGCGGGAAGCCTGCTTCTCCCTCTCCCATCCCCTCTGCTTATGTTCCCTCTCTGTGTCTCTCTGTGTCAAATAAATAAATAAAATCTTTAAAAAAAAAAAGTAAAAAGAAATAGGTGACATCAATTTTAATAACATTTTATTTAATTCAATATTTCTACAGTGTTACCATTATATCCGTTTTTTTGGAATCCAGTCTTTGAAATTCAGTGAAGATTTTAGGCTACAGCACACCTCATTCAGACTCACTGCACCTGAGATGCTCGGTGGCCTATGCAGTGAGTGCTGCCTTCTTAGACATCCCAGGGCTAGAGCAGCAGCAACCACAGGCTGTGTCAGGAACCAGGGGGTCCACGCTCTGCTCTGCACACTTGTCCCAAAGCTCTTACTTTCTGCCCTGCCCTTACCCCCCAGACAGAACTGCTTCCTCCATGGGGAAAATTGTTTGTTTGTCTAGGAGATTCTGAACAAGGTACAATGACCCTGTGTGAATCTGTGCTTCTTGTGAGATCTGTGCAGAACCCATCCCTTCTCCCACTGCGTAGAACTGTCAGTGAGAGGCTCCTTCTCCGGGGGGAATGTAGCCACAGGCCAGGCGCTGGCCTTCAGGAACAGTTTTGGGAAGCTGAGGTTTATTCAATGAGAGCCGTCTGGAAAGGAAACTCAAATAGGATTAAAAAACTAGCGAGGGATGTGGAGGCTTGTGGATGTGCCGGGGGCTGGGCCCCCAGCCCTGTCTATGTGGTCTTGGCTAGATGGGCTATCCCAAAAGGAGAAGCTGGCTAAAAGCTGCACCCTTGGAAGACGGAGCATCACTTCTGCCATCCTGTAGGCTGGGGCAGTCAGAGGCCTGCTGGGCTTCCAGGGCAGGGGGACATAGACCCAGAGTCAGGAGTGGACACGGCAACACACACGGCTATGGTGTGCTAGCTGTGGGACCGTCTGAGAAAGTGGCTATAAACTCTACCCTTTTTCGCCATTTAAACATCAGGTGACAGGTGTGCTTGTTGAGATGTGTTTCTTTCACGTGTGGACAGAATTACACTGGTTGCAAATGAGGCCCTTCCTCTGAAGTTTTCATGACCCCATCCCAAGTCCCCCCACTTCCCCCAGGGTGCGTGCTCACTCAGATACCATCCTGTTTGGTAAGATCATCTTTGTTCTGTAGCCCTTGGTCTGAAGTACCTGGTATCCTCTTGGCTCAGTAGCTGTAGAAAGAACCCTTTGCAGATTCAACAGCAGCAGAGGAAAGAATCCCAGGACATATCCTGGGACATTGCTGCCTCACACCCACGTCACATCACTGGAGTTTCAGCTGTTAATGGTTCTCTGTATTTTCTACATTTCTCTTCAGTTTCCACTCCGCTATTTTTTTCTGAGCCCCTTCTGTATATCGAGTGCTTGAAAGTGGTGCAGGGTACTAGAAGGTCAAGAAGTGACCCCTGCTTTCGTTTGGCTCACCTGTCCTTAGGAAACAGGAATGCAGTTTTAAGTGTTGTGTGCTGGACTGCTCCCTCGGCAGGCTGGCTCTACACTGCCCCGCTCCTCACTGCCCCTCAGGCGGCCACACTGGCTGCAGGGGGTGTCTGGCTCTACCCCACAGGACCTGCAGGACCACAACGACGAGCTGCAGGCTGCACTGGAAGGCCTGCGAGCACAGCTGCCCCCGAGTTGGCATGGTCAGCCCCACGCACAGCCAGAGGAACGGCTGCCCCCTGAACATGGGCCAGCAGGTAGGAGCCCAGTCCTGGGACGTGAGAGCTCGTGCGCTCCTTCTGTGGGAAAGCAGAGGCTGGTGGCAGTGGGTATCTATCTTCCCCCGCTGCACGAGCTTCCCTCTGGTCCTGGGGGACTCTGCAGGAGGGGGGACCAGCTGCCCGGCATGTCAGGCCTCCAAGGGATCACATGCCCTTCAGACTGCCACATGTGGGAGAAGGGCCTGTAACCCAAGGCCAGGGACAATACCCAAAGCCCCAAGGGAGGTAGAGGATAGTAAGGGTTTTACCATTTGGGTAGAGTGGTGAAGGTTATGATGACCTGGTAGTGACCTCCGGACAGGCATGTCCTAGTGGGCCTCTTGGGTCATGGGGAGGATCCAGAGAGATGCCCTAGGATGAGCGTTCAGCATGGGTCGGACATAGTCATCGAGGGAAGGGAGGAGAGGGGAGGCTGGAAGTGAGCAGGGTGGTGGTCTCCCAGCCCTGCCCAGAGCACGACGTCTGGTCTTGGGTCTGTGACAGCTCTCAGAGAGGGAAGGTAAATGTGTAAAATGTGTCAGGGACTCCTGGTATTCACAGAGGCCTCATGTGGACTACAGCAGACAGGGATGATGTTTACTCCCTGGATGGTGTGGAAAGGGTCGAGGTGGGGTGCGGCTCTGGCACCCTGGAAGGGCCGGCTGCACCTGCCTGTGCACAGCACTGATGATGAAGGAGTTACTTGACAATAAAGACCAGGGCTTCATGCTTCTTAACTCTTTAGCCTATGAGGTTTGGGACAAGCTCCAGGCACCAAGAGGCGCAGTGCCCTCTGTTTAAGTGTTATTGGCTCCTTCTAGAGACTAGAATTGGAGGTAGAGTTCAGATGCCATAGCTATCCTTCAGGTTTCCATGGTCCTTCTGGAGGACAGGGTGGGTTTGGCTGATTGCCACCTTTCCTGGAAGTTGCATGGGGTGGGCACTATGCAAATTCACATGCTGCATGTGGTTCCATGCGCACCGCTGCTCGTGGCGGGCCTCTGGGGACCACCGGGACTGCCCCACCCCCAGCCACATGGCTACCTCCACTGACCATGTACCACAGCAGAGTCAGCCCGTTCTGCCATCTGTTCTCATCTGCAACCCTGAGAGCAGTCAGAGTTCCTATATTGTCCTAAAGCTGTTTACTTAATGAAACAGGAAAAAGGGGGGCACCTGGGTGGCTCAGTCAATTAAAACTTGATTTTGGCTCAGGTCATGATCTCAGGGTCATGAGATTGAGCCCAGCCTTGGGCTCTGCACTCAGCACGGAGTCTGCTTGAGATTCTTTCCGTCTTCCTCCACCCCTCCCCCTGCACATGGTCTCTCTACCTCTCTGTCTTTCTCTTTCCCTCTTTCTTAAATAAAATATATAAGATCTTGAAAAAAAGAATAAAGTTTGTACCTAAGAGAGCCGACATGGGAACCAAGTGGGGCTTTCTGTCCACTGGGTCTAGCTTCCTCAGTCCCTTAAGGGGATACCGTCACAGCATCTTCTTTAGTGGAGTCTGATGACTTCCAAGGCCTGCTGTCCTGACTGTCCTCAGCTGGGAGGTGTTGGGGTACAGCCAGCACACTGGACAACATCACATCCCCAGATTAGTGTTACACATGGCCAGGTGGGCAGCCTGGCCACAGGGAAGGGGGAGAGGATTGCTACCTCCCTTTGTCCCTGGAGGAGTGTGGGATGCACAGAACATGGGATCCTTGTCAAGAGCTACCAACCATAACCCAGGGATCAGCAGAGCTAGGGACCCATACCTTGGGTGGCCCTTGTCCAGAAGACCTTGGACTGTGGCACCAGAAGGCAGCCTCAGCCTCTGTGTCATCACTGATCCCCGCACTAGGGCCCGTTCTCTTCCCCTTTGCACCCCCATTGCCCTCCATCTGAACACAGAAATCCCGTCTGCCCCTTCAAAGGAGGAGGGCTCTGCTGCCACAGGAGAGTTTTGGTAGAAGGGCTGTGAGGTCCTGGTGGCTGTGCCCTCAGTGCTTCTAGCTGGAGCCACTCCTACCAGCTGCCTATGCACCTGGGCCTACTTGGCCAGAACTAGGTGGCAGCTCCGGTTTACAGGACAGGGGCTGCTTGCTTTCCTGAGGTGCTTATCCTGACTTCTGTCAGCCCCATTGCCCTCACTCTGTCGTTTTTTTTTTCATGGCAAATCGTTAAGGCATGTGTCATCTCCCTTCACTTCCCCAGCCCCAGACCAGCACAAAACCTGAGCAGTGGCCAAAACTCACATTCTGAGTCAGCCCTTTGGCATTGTTAGTAGCACCAGAAATGCCTGGTGCCCTGGGGGGTACTTGCGGTTCCACAGGCTCCTCGCAAAATGAGCTGCAGGGATGTCTGACATGGTCAGTGAGGAGAATCCTCTGGAACAAGGGGTCACTCATATACTCTTTCCTGTGATCTGTTAGAACTTTGGCTCTATGAGTATTTACTGTGTTTAACATATTTGTTGAAAACCCATGTTATTATCATGTAATAGTAGCATAAAGTCTCTAAGAAAAGGGCATAGCTAGAATAAAAAGCTTGAAAAAATAAGGCTCATAGTGTCTCATCGTAAAGCACTGACTGTCTGCCACAGGTCACACTCGTTGCTCGGTCTTCCCAGTTCCTGTGTGTGCTTGGCATCATCGGGGAACAGAATTTAGGGGGCAGTAAACGTACCGTGTACAGCATCTTTTAGGGAATCCAAGGGCCTGACAGATCTTGCAGGGAGCCTCCTGGTTATATCTTTGGGTAATGTGTGTTCTGGCAAAGGCTCGGAATGCTGATTTCTGAAGAGCTCCTACCTTGAGAGCTAAGCATAGTAGATTGCTTGTGGAAACCCACGAGGGTTGGCTGTCTCTGCCAGCACAGCATTCCTCTTGCAGAAAAGGCCCATGGAGGGTTGTGCATGGTCAGGGGCATGGTGGCAAATGACTGGGCTGAATACTCAGTGCCGGCCAAATGTTGGATTGGAGGGCTGGGAACGGCCTGTGGCATCCTCGGCAGGACAGAAACAGGAATGTCTCCTTGTTTGCAGGCATCATCTCATTTGTTGGTGATTCCATTCCAGTGAGTTTAGAAACAGAGATAATGATGGAGCAGGTGAAGGAACACTGCCAAGACCTCAAGATCCAGCTGGAGACCAAGGTCAGGGGGAGTGAGGGCGGCCACAGGGATACAGAGAAGCTTCCTGCTGCGCGCTGGGAAGCCTTGCTCGGCTGTGCACGTTTGCGCATGCACACGTGTGTCCTAGATCCTGCGCCCCTTAGGAAGCCCTCTCAGGGGAACAGGAGATTGTGGGGAAATGTAAAGAAAATGAACATTTTGCCTCACACCTTCTTTGGAAGGAGGCAGGAGATAAAGAATGACCAGTAAAGGGAGGGAACGGGGTTATATGTATCCAAGTGTCATAGGGGCCGTTGCACTGAGGCCAGACCTTGCTGCCCACTCTGCCATCAGGGAATCAGAGCTCCCATCTGTGTTCTAAGCTGATGCGACCCTGGGGTTGTCCTTTGTGGGGTACTCCGTGGCCTTGTGACCAGGACCCTGGCTGAGTCTGTCTTTCTGGATGAACTTGTCTTCTTCTCTGTTAGCAGATCGTGGTGGGGTTTTGTTAAGAGACATGTCCACGACTTGTTTCCATGATTTGTTATCAGGTGTAAGAGTAGCAGCAAGGTGGGAGTGCCTGTCCTATGCTTGTGCCTCTGGGCTCCCTGGGATGCATTAGCTGGAAACTCCTGCAGTAGCCGTGCCCTGGGGGCTGGAGGATGTTCAGAGCCACCCCTGGTCTCATGAAGGCTCCCCAGTTCTCTCAGTTGTCCCACTGTCTGCCCTCCGGGTGGCCTGGCCAAGCGCCTGGCCCAGTGTGATCCCAGTCTCCATTCCCCACCTGCTGGACCTGCCTCCTGGGGCCCTTGTGAAGGTTATGGGAGACAAGGGAAGCCCAAGGCCACACTGTGCCGTGTGAGAGACTCCACTGTCCTTAGCGCCGCTCTTTCTGGTTCACAGGACTGTGCACTGCTTTGGGTCTGGGCCACCATTCTTTGGGTGTCATGCCTAGAAGTCTGGTATTTCTGTGTTGTGTTGCCCGGTAAGTCATTTTCAGGACCTCCTGATGGACACTGCTCACATTTCTCTTTTCAGGTAAATTCCTACGAGAGGGAAATGGAGCTGATGAGGAGAGACTTCACGAAGGAGAGGGAGCAGATGCAGCAGGCCTTCAGGCTTGAGGTCCACGTGCTGGAGTGCCGGAGGGCCGACCTGGAGGTGCTGCTCGGGAAGTCTCAGGAGCTCATCCGAGGCCTACAGGACCAGCTCCAGTGGGCGGCCTGTGGCCCTCCGCCGGAGAGTGCGGGGTTGGGGCAGTGCTGCATGCAGGCGCTGTCTGGCCCTGCCGGGCGGCTGGCCCAAAAGCAGGACCCACTGGAGCAGGGGCAGCACCAGTGGCATCGGAACGAGCTGCAGCGAGTCAGGTCAGGCACTGCGTCCTTTCAGGGTCTTACGGTTAGGGGTTCCTGCCAAGAACCCGGATTTGAAACTGCATCAGGAAACTGCTCAGAATCATAGCACCTGCTAACGGGGTGCTTTTTCTCAGGGCAGGTAGGTGAGCATTGAAAGAACAGGTCAGGGACACCTGGGTGGCTCAGTCAGTTAAGTGTTAGACTCTTGGTTTTGGCTCAGGTCATGATATCAGGGACACGGGATCGAGCCCTAGATCAGACTTCATGCTCAGTGCCATCTGCTTGAGATTCTCTGTCTTCCTCTCTCTTTTTCCCTCCTCATGCTCACAGTGCACTTCCCCCCCCCCAAAATAATAAATAAATAAAATATTTTTTCAAAAAAAGAAAGAACAGGTCATCAGGTAAGGATTGTCCCTTCGTATTAAAAATATCTGTTAACTAGAGCTTAAGAGTTAAAATTCCTTGTAGAATTTTGCCTCACACTTGCAAAGGTCAGTATGTTCTTCCTTTAATATCTCATTCTAATTTTCTAGCACATGAGCAGATGGATGGAAGGCCTAAAACCCCTAAAACAATGGGAAAAACAAATAATTTGGGTTGGTGAGATTCTTGGAAAGGACAAAAGGTGTGAGCAAAGGAGAGGAAAGGTTTATTTGGAAAACTGGGATATGGCATTTTGTGTCAAACAGTGTCATAGTGACATGAGAAATACCCATGTGTTCATTCCTTGTCAAGTGGGTCTGACTTGGTAGGGTGAAATGACCAGTTATCTTAGCCGTGGCGCTGGTCAATCAGCCCCTCCGTGTCTTGTGGGGAGTCTTGGACCCATCCAGTTCAGGAGGGGATCACTACACCCAGCATATGTTGACCCAGGGCTGAGTGGATAGCTCACAGTGGAGTAGCCCACCGCACCGTGCTCCTCACAGAGGGCTTATGTAGGGCTTGGTGGGGTTTGGTGTTGGAGCTGAGTGCATGTGGCCTCATTCACCCCCTGATTGCAGGATGTTGACAGCCTTTATGTAGAGACCATGCCCTCCAACCTGTGGGGTGCGCTCTCCCCTTTGGCTCAGTGATTGGAGTTAGCCCAAGTACGTAGGATGTGCTATGAAAGAACCAGACTGCCCCCCCAAGTCTGTGGGTGCTCCTTCCTCCCTGTACTCCATATGACGCCAGTGGAAGGGCCCTGGGCCCTTGGGGGCTGACGGGAACTGTCACTCTCCTACAGGATGATAAAGGTCATTTTTAAGTCATGTGCTTCCTCTGAGCTTTAAGTTATTTTCTCTTAAACCCCAGAGCTATGCAATAAGGGACTTGACCCAAGTCCCTCTAGACCCTACTGGCAGCAGATGGGCCGGTGCAGGGTAGCCCCTTCCACCAGCCTGTGCCATCCATCTGGACGACCTGCTTGCTGTTCACAGTCCTTCCTCAGGCTGGACCTAGAGCCACATCCGGCCACATGTCCTGTTCTCAGGCTGGCACCAGCCACAAAGAGCATGTCCTTAGTGCCCTCACCTCAGCTGGGACTCCATTCTCCCAGGGCTGTGAAGGCCTGGTGCCCAGCAACTTACCAAATTTTCAAGGGTAGCTTTTAACTGTAGGTGAGAGCCACACATCTCATGAAAGTTTTAGACCAGCACTGTCCTTAGTACTTCCTGTGATGGGGGACACATCCTGTATCTTCTTTGTCCATGATGGCAGCCTCCGGCCACACGTGGCTGCTGAGCCCTGGACATGTGGCCCATATGACTCAGATACTAAATTTTTATCCGGTTTACTTATAATCAACTTACACTTAACAGTCATATGTGTGAATGGTTTCGTGTCAGCTTCTGTATGTAGAACCCATCCCTACTGAGGGCAGATCTTCTGATAGACCCTCTATGGAGGATTGCAGGGCATGGATGGAACGCTGGGGTGCATGGGGGTGAGGGGACAGAGCAGGCCAGGAAGAGGAGGTCTGTGGTCAGGACAAGAGGAGCCCGTGGGGAGGCCTTTCCAACCTGGGGGTAGGACTGGGCCTGAGCTGTGCCCATAGTGCCTGTGACATGCTCTGTTTCTGTAGGAAAGAGGCTGAAGTTGCTCTGAACTACGAGCTCTCAAGGATGGAAGCCCAGCAGGCTGCCCATTGTAAGCACTTTGCGCTGCAGCCTCAGCAGGAGAAGGAAGAGGTGCTCCAGAGAGCCCTGCTGCAAGTCCACGAGGTGACAGAGCAGCATGACCAGGAGAAGGAGCGGAGGGCGGGCAGGGGGGAGGAGCCCCACCCACGCTGGGAAAGTCAGCAGCGGAAGCTGCAGGAGCTGGTAGGCAAGGAACAGGCAGAGTTTTGCAGGTTCTCTGCCCTGGAGGAGGAGAAGCTGGAGCTCACCTGTAGGAAACAAGTAGGAAGGCCTGTATGGGCAACAGACATGCTGTGGGCCTGCTGGAGGGACAGGCCAGCTGTGGCAGGTCGTGAGCAGGAGGGTGCAGGCAGGAGGGAGCAGCCACTGGCCTGGCCGGAACCTGGCGATGGACGTGGCCATGGGCAAACCAGGTGCAGGCATGTGGATGCCCGGCAGAGCCCAGCCCTAGCCCCTGCTCTGGCCCGCAGAGGGCCCTTGGAGAGCCTTGGCCTCAGAGAGGATGGTCGGCATGTGCTCGTTGCTGAAGAGGTGGCTTCTGCTCCCCCCGAGAGGCGGGCACAGGTGCACCCATGTGGGGTGGACAGGAGAGCGGTTCTGGAGGAGCCAATGCCTCTTGCCAGCAGCTCAGCTGGTGTGACCCAGACTGAAGCCCAGGAGCTCCTCTGGGGAACAGAAGGAGATGCCTCACCAGCCCAGCCCCCACCAGTGGGCAGAGGAGAGACTGAGAGGCAGCTGGCCGTTCTGGAGCAAGCTGGGCACCTGAGTGAGGGGCTGGCCCCCACAGGCAGCCAGGGGCAGGCCATGGAGGAGCAGGGCCAGCATGGGGAGAGCACCCTGGAGCAGGAGCTGCAGCAAAGCAGGGACAAGGCCAAGGAGGGCACCTCGCTCTCCCAACCCCACCTCACTGGCCCCCAAGTGGCCGGGCAGGAGCAGCTTGAGGCCCTGCAGGAGGAAGAGGCCAACACAGCCATGGAAAGAGAGAAGGATGACATGAAAACCAAACTTCTGCAGCTGGAAGATGTCGTTCGGGCTCTTGAGAAAGACGCAGATTCAAGAGAGAACAACAGGTTTGGTTTCTACCCATTCTTAGAATGTCAGGCTATATACCCTCTAACCTCTCACCTCTGGCTCCACTGCATGGGCCTTGTCACAGCTGCTGATGGGGGTTATGTAACCCTCATGCCTGTGCAGGGGTCATAAGCCTGGCCCCGACCCTGGGGCATCCCACAGGCCACACACGCCCAGTGAGTAGGTGAGGGCAGAGCTGGGCCATTCTGGGCAGTTCAGCTGGCCTTGGTGTCCCTTGCTCCTGTCCTTAGGAAGTTCTAGCTGGTCTCACAAGGACAAAGACAGACTGTGCTTGGAACCCTGCTTCAGTTCTGGGTCGCCTGAGCCCTCTTCCTGCTGACTTTGAGCAGGACCCACTACTTTGCCCTGCCAGCATGTGTGCCAGGCACTGTCCTTGAACTGCAAGTTCCTGAGCTTTCTGAGTGGAGCAACAGAGGAGGCTGTCCAGCCCAGACACCTCCTGGGAGGCTGGGGGTGGGGCATGAGTGCCCAGGGGGGTTCAAGATGGTGCTGCAGTTGATGCCTTCAGGGGAAGCCTCAAGCTGGGGAGATGGCCTGGAGATGTTGGTATGTGGGCCAAGTTCAGAGAGCCCTACAGCCCCCCTCAGGCATCAGCTCCTGCTAGCTGGGTGACCACGGGCAGTTAGCTTCATTGAGAAAAAAGATTATGTGGGATTGACATGAAACCAAAAGGAAGAAATGTCAAGGCACCACCCAGCTTAAGAAAAAATATTAGCATAGCTAGAAACCTCCTAGGCACCAGACCTCCTCACCTCCTAGAGGTGCCATTACTTGATGTCCCTGCCTCTTATGTGGGTGTCTCTAAACCAGAGCACCTTGTTTATAGTGGCCTGACTTCTAGATTTTGTCACCCATGAAGTGCAGAGGGTGCCGTGCCCCCAAAGGGCATGGAGCATGAAATGAATGTAGAACACTTACTATCCTGGATGCTCCATAGCAAGTCTCTGACACACAGAGGATGGTCTTGGGCCCTGCGGACACACTGTGGGTACCTGTTCTGCACACAAGTCTGTGGCAGGCCCCAGGCACACACATGGAGGGGCCTTAGGCGCAGAAGCAGCCCCGCACCTTGAGTCTCACTCCCTTCCTGTTGACCCCACAGCTAAAGTCACAGTTGTAGTCTCAGGAGGGTCTTCACTCCTTGACAGTGATTACGGGGCATCTTCTATGTGGGGGTCCAGCTAGGGATAGCAGCAGGGTGCAAGACAGGTTTACGGCTTTCAGCCTCTGGGGGAGGTGCCGTGCTTGCTGCATGTCTCAGTGTCAGGAAGAAACTCGCTGCCCTGTTTCAAATATGAGGAAACTTAAAGGCCATGCTGCTGAGACCATGTACATTTTCTAGGGACATGTGCACAAATGGTGAAAGCCTAAGGGAATATATAGAAATGACCAGCCCAAATTCGAGCTGGTAGTTTTCTGGGAGGTGAGGTGTTCAGATCTGGGAAGGTGGAGGAGGACCTGGGGCAGGAGCAGGCTTTGCCCAGGTTAGAGGGCTTTGGGGAATAAGGAGATGGCTGTGCAGAGGGGAATGTGGATAGGAACCAGCTCTTGTGGGCATGGGGAGGGTGTTTGAGAGGCAGGCTGCTGGGGCCCTGAGCCGGGCAACTGTGGAAACATGCTCTTGGTTAGCCAGGGAAACCGAGAAGGGTGGATTGCAGGGGTTGTGGGGTGGGTGTGTAGGAAGAGGTGGGTGGAGGGCCGGGGGAGGTGGCTACTGCAGATGTCCAGGTAAGAAGTGACAGTTGCTGGGGACCAGAGTGATAGCATCAGAGGTGCAGGGAGTCAACTGGCAGGAGTGTCGAGGCCAAGTTGATGGGTTACAGGAGGATGGGATTTTCAGAAAACACATGGGACCACCTTCCAAACCCACACCAGCCATAGGCCCCTTGGCTGGGCAGAGCTCAGACCTGCAGGACCTTAAAAGCCATGGTGAAGATTTGGGTCTTTATCAAGGAGAAAGCAAAGTACAGAGTGACACGACCAGATTTGGATTGTGAAAGAATCTCTGCCAGTAGCTTAGAGAAGAGAAGTGGCCTGAATGCCCACGTAACCGAATTCATCCACGGTCACCTCTTCTGTTGCTCTTTTACTCTATACACAATTCCACACCCACCCTTTTTAAATTCTTTCTGAATCATTGGAGATAATTGCAGACATTATGACATTTTACTGCTAAATATTTCAACATGTTATTTTGTAAGAACAAGGACGTTCTCCTGCATATCCACAGTATTGTTATCACATGTGGGAAATTTAATTCGAATGCACTGCTATTTTTAATTTGCACTCCACTTCCAGATTTTGCCAATTGTTTCAGTATGTTTTTTCTAGATTGTTCACCTACCCCAGATCTAATCAAGGATCATAGTGTGCATTTAGTTATTATATCTCTTTAATATCCTTTAAGAGTATACCAGTCTTTTTAAATTAGTTTTTCTGTCAATGGATATTGACTTTTTTTAAATCATGGCAAAGTATACATAATGTAAAATCGACCATTTTAACCACATAATTTAGTGACATTAAACATGCACAATGTGTAAACCATCACCACTTTCTACTTCCAAAACTTTCTCATCATTCCAAGCAGAAACTCTGTATCTATTAAACAGTAATCATTGCTAGTATTTTGTGAGGATTTTAGCATCAATTTTGGGCGAGGATATTGGTCTATAGTTTTCCTGTAAGAGTTTGAGAAGGATTAGCATTTTCTTCTTTAAATGTTTGGTAGGGGGCACCTGGGGGGCTCAGTCGGTTGAGAGCCCGACTCTTGGTTTTGGCTCAGATCATGACCTCAGGGTCCTGGGATAGAACACCGAGTCTGGCTCCATTCTCAGTGGGGAATCTGCTTGAGGATTCTCTCTCTCCCTTTGCCCCTCCCCCTATTTGCGAGCATGCTCTCTCTCAAATAAATCTTTAAAAACAAAGAAGATTCAACCATTACATTGGATAGTATACTCTGTCTAGTTGTTGCTCTGTATTTGTTATTAGTCTCCTATTGCTGCTGTAACTAATTACCACTATTACTAAGTTAGTGGCTTAAAACAACACAATTTATGATTTTACAGTTTTGGAGCTTAGAAGTCTGAAATGGTTATGACTGGACTAAAATTAAGATGCTGGCAAGGTTGCTTTCCTTTTTGGTGGCTCTGGAAGAGAATCGCTGTTCTGTTTTCCAGCCTCTGTGGACTGCTTGCATTCCTTATTTCTGGCCCCCTTCCATCTTTAAAGCTGGTAATGACTGGTCAGGTCCACCTGACATCACATCACTCTGACACCCACTCCCCTCCCTCCCTTTTCCACATTTCAGGACCCTGTGATTACATTGGGCACACCTGGATGATCCAGGACCTCTAGCTGTAGTTCATTCATACAGCTCATTGCTGTGGATTGTTCTGTTGTGTGAATATAACACAGTTTACTCATTCACTTGTGGATGGGCATTTGAATAGTGTTTAGTTTTGGTCATCACAAATAGTACTGCTAAGAAAGTTCTTATCCATGTCTTTTGGAGCATTTACATTGGGGTGTACCTAAGAATGGAATTGTCAGGTTAGAGGGTGTAGGTGTGGTTTTCTTTCTACTCATCCTGCTTAGAAAAACATTGTACCCATTGAATTTGTGTCTTATGAAAACTTCTCAGCCATTATTTTTAAAACATTGCTTCTGCTCTCACTCTACAATTAGATGTATGATGTTAGATATTTTCACTTTTCCTCCATTTCTTCCCTTCCATCTCTTTTATCTTCTTTTCTCTCATTGCATTCTGGGTACTTTTTTTCCTATCTCTGTGTACCAAATCAGTAATTCTTCCTTCAGCTCTGTTTAAATCTGCCATTTAACTCATTCAGGTTTTATTTTGACATTGCCTCCCCGCCCGCCCCCCCATTTCCAAAAGCCCTGTTTTGTCCTGTTTGGTCTGATCATTTTTGATAGTTTCTTGTTTCTTGTTTATTTTTTATTATGTGAACATTTTACAATTTTATCCTTAGTTTGTGTCTGACAATTCCAATATCTGAGGTTCCTATGGGATCCAGTCTGCTGTTATGCTTCTGCTGCTGCTGGGAGGTGGCTTTTTTCCATGTATGTTGTGGTGATTGTGACTGTGAGCTCGTGTTTACATGCTGTTCATCTCTGGGAATCTCTGGAACTGTAATAGAGGATGCTTTCTGAAGAAAGGGCGGATACTGCTTTTGCTGAGACTTGGGAGCTGCTAATCTGGGACCACTTGAACTTCCTTCTAGGGCACTGGCTTAATGTAGGCGTGCCCGGTGTGGTTTTTCCACGCTGCTGATGGCAGTGCTGCCAGGGTAACCCTTTATTTGTGTGGCTCACTGCTCACAGCCGGGGTTTCAGCATCTGGATTTTTGTTTTATTAGGGGGCCCTTGGAGGTTTCCCTTACCTTCTGTGAGGATAGTCACCCGTTGTATGGTCAGTCTCACACAGCTCTAGTTGCTTGGTGTGGTGAGGGGGATGGGGTGGGACAGCCATCAGCTTCTCTGAGGCCCAGGAAGCTGAAGTGGAAACTGCCCCAACACACGTAGTGCCACTGAGTCAGTTTGTTTTCCATCCTGGAGCCAGAGTGGCGGTTCCCAAACACACACCTCATTTGTTTCTCTCCTCTGCTTGAAACCGTTTGCTGCTTTAAAAATTCCAATGACTTCCCTTTCTTTATTTTTGTCTTTTTAGTTCCTCATGAGATAAAATGAAGTTATATTAATGTGTATGAAGGACACACTTATGCTTGGTATTATAAGCCTATTACATTAGATAAACATAACAAGACCATGTGGCTTTGAGTATTTTTAGATTGAAAAAATTAGAAGCTAATGCCAGTAGGGACTTATTGGCGGTGGGGGGGAACAAATGTCAGACCAGTGTCTATTAAGAATAAATTTCTGGGGTGGGGGTACCTGGGTGGCTCAGTTCATTAAGTGTCTGACTTCAGTTCAGTCCTGGGATCAAGCCCCATGTCGGGCTCCCTGCTCAGTGGGGAGTCTGCTTCTCCCTCTCCCTCTGCCCCTCCCCTTGCTCATACGCGCTCTCTCTCAAATAAATAAAAATCTAAAAAAAAAAAAAGAATAAATTTCTTGGGCAGCAAATATGGGTTTTAAGCTGCATTTGTGATCTTTACTGGTAAATTGCTTATCTGTCATATGTCAGTGGTGTTACCCAAGTGGAGATCTCTAAGGTATCAGAAAGCAAAGGTGGCTCCAAGCAGACTTGGTTCATGTAGTAGCTACTCATGCTTGCTTTTTCCCATTGAGGGATCCACCTTGCATCAGGTCTCTCTCTGTACAAGGGATGTGGGTATCTCCCCAGTTTTCTTCTCCCTAGTGGTGACCTGAAGAGTGTACAATGCAGGTAGCTCTCACTAAAGAGGAAAATGTTTTGGTCTTCTGATTCCTCATGTTCCTTAGCTCCATGCTAGAGTTCTCTTGTAGGGGATGAATATCCTTTGCAGTAACCTGAGGACCCACAGCCAGCATTGTGCATTGATACCAGCCACGAGCACACTCATTTAAGTTAGTGGTTGTGAGATGTGGTAACAGGTCAGCTGTGAACATGAAGTAAACAGAACCGAGGTGCTGAATACTCTTAATGAGTTGATTGTGTGATTGATAGTTTTAGAAGCTAAGAATGCTTTTATTTTCTGTGGCTTGTTGCTTGGGAGACACAAACCATAGCATGTCAGCAGTGCATAAAGGAAAAGGAACCGTGCGCTCTGTTCCATCCAGGGATGATGCAGGGTCCACCATGACTTCCACCTGCAAGACCATACTCATGTGAACTACATATGGTGGCCAGCTCCTAGAGTCCCCACTCTTACTGGTTGTTTTCAATTTTTCATGCAGAATCGAGTTGGATAGGCTTTCTGAAGAAAACACATTGTTGAAAAATGAGCTGGGAAGGATTCAGCAAGAGCTTGAAGCTGCAGAAAGGACAAATGATGCCCAGAGGTAAGGGCCCTGGGCTCCGTGGTTCTGCCTGGACTCCAGTCTACAACACGCTTTGCTCTCTGTACAATGAGCTTTGAAGGTATTGCTGTGGAAAGTGGGGAATGTTCAAGCGCCTGTGTGGCTCAGCCAGTTGAGTGTCTGCCTTGGTGTGGAAGGGGAGTGACTTTCTACTTTCACTACCATAGTCTTATACAAGGACAGTTTGACCTTTTTTTTTTTTTAACTATGAAGTTAAAGATTATTAAAATATGGCATCCAGAGCAGGTGGTCAACAAGTGATTGCTATTATATTACAGCATTTCTGAAATCTAAAAGTTTTTTCCCCTCTAGAAACCATTGTTTCCCTGGATGCCTGGGTGGCTCAGTCGGTTAAGTGTCTGCCTTCAGCTCAGGTCATGGTCCCTGGATCCCGGGATCGATCCTGCATCAGGCTCCCTGCTCAGCGGGGAGTCTGCTTCTTCCTCTCCCTCTGTCCCCACCCACCCCCCTACCCCGCTAGTGCTTGTGCTCTTGCTCTGTCTCAAATATATAAATAACATCTTAAAAAAAAAAAAAGAAACAATTGTTTCCCTCATTTGCTGTCAGGAAATTTTACATTTTACAAGAGACACCAGCAGATACGAGGCTGTTGTCGTTCTATTTATGCCGCTGGGTGTGAACGGTCACATGTTTTGCTAATGAGATGTTACTGTGTGCGACTGAGAAATTCCCTGGAGGTTCTTACAGTACTGGCAGTGTTCCTCTGGTTCCCAGGGTTGGGGTCCCAGCTGGGTGGGCAGCAGCAGTGGTGGAGAATAGTGGCAGAGTGGTGGCTCTGGGGTCCCAGGAGCAGGCGTGAGAGTCTCTTCTGTGGCTGCACACCCCGAGCCACCACTGTTACGGGGGCAGTGACAGGGAAGAAAAGAAACTGACTGGTCAGTGATACTGTACATTTTGCTTCTTCAACAGGAAGGAAATGGAGGTTTTAAAGAGAGACAGGGAAAAGGCCTGCTCTGAAGTGGAAGAGCTCAACAAACAGGTCAGGTATCAATACCTGCATGACGCTGACACCACTCTCCTTTTCTCATTATTTTGAAATAATTTCACACTTACAAAAAGGAAAGACAGAACTCTTTTCTGAAAGATCTGAGAGTGAGTTGCCAACCCATCCGCCCCTTCCCCGGCTCAAAGTTGGGATGTTAACATGGGTGCAAAAGTGCCATCTGAGCCCCCACCCCACTGAGCTTTGCCAGCTGTCCCCTGGCTCCCTCGGTTACGCCTTGGTTTTTAGGACCTGGTCTCTTTTGAAGATTACAAGCAGTTATTTTGTAGGAAGCCCTCCATTTGGTTTGTATGACATTCCCTTTAGATTATGCCTCTTTAGCATGATTTGTCCCATTCCTTGTGATGTCAGCTTTGATTACTGGTTAGGCGGTGTTGGCTGGGCTTCTCTGCAGTGAGGTTACTTTTCCCTTTGTAATTGGTGAGTATTGTATGGGTAGATACTTTGACATTATGTAAATACCCTGTTCCCCATCAAACTCTCATCCCCTTATTTTAGCATCCTTTGTTTCTTGCTGTGATGGTAGCCAGTTGGTAATTAATCTTATTGGTATTCTAGTATAAGGAAGAGCTTTCTTTTCTGTTCACTTATTTATTCATTCCATCATCATATTATTATCCTAGGATCCTGTTTAATTCAGTGGGTTATAATACATTACCATCAGTATTTATTTTCGTGTTCAAATTGTCCCAGAGTTGGCTAATGAAAGTCCCTTCACAGTGGTTTCTGGGTCCTCCAGACAGATCCTGATCATTTTTTGAGCAGTTCCTTACTTTCTGGTACCCCTGGATATTCCATGTTCATCTAATACTTCCCCTGCCTCAGCCTGTAATCAGCTACTTCCCACAAGGAGCCCCCAGTCACCTTTACTGTGGAATGGTGTTTGGAGACTAAGACCTGGGCACCAAGAGTGCCCACCGCTCCTGGGGTGTCACTACTTCCAGACACAATTAATGGATAGAGCTAAGGAGTGTGTATGTTCTTATATACATACACACTCACATGCATATGGTTGCATGAGTATTATATATATATATCTACTGAAAATCATGAATTCAAACCCCATATATGCAATTCCCACTTAATGATGATCCTAGTTTCTCCCTTTCCATATTTGTAACTCCTATCTCCCGCAGTGAGAAGCCTGCTTTCTGTCTTCAGAAGATCTACTTACTGTTGATTAATCTCCCCTTACCCCACTCTGTTTCTGCACTAACCCCACACTGGTCCTCTTTTTGCCCCCATACATAGATGCCTTTCATACTTGGTCTCCTTTACTGGCTTTTGGATGAATATTTATTTATTTATTTATGTATGTATGTATGTATGTATGTATGTATGTATGTGAGAGAGAGAGACAGAGAGAGAGCACATGAGCTTGCGGGGAGAGGCAGGGGGAGAAGCATACTCCCCGCCAAGCAGGGAGCCTGATGTGGGACTCAGTCCCAGGACCCTGGGATCATGACCTGAGGCGAAGGCGGAGCCTAACTGACTGAACCACCCAGATGCCCTTTGGATGCATTATTAAGGAGGAAGCACACAAGCTGCGGTGTATCATTCTTGGGTTTTTTAATTCTTTTTTAATTGATACTGTTAATGATAATTGCCGACTCATGTAGTTGTAAGAAATATAGAGAAATTCTTAAAACACTTTGACCATTTTCCCCCAATGGTAACATTTTTTTTAAGTTTTTATTTAAATTTTACTTACTTAATATCCAATGTAATATTAGTTTCAGGTGCACATATAGTAATTCAACACTTCCATACATCACTCAGTGCTCATCATGACAAGGGCGCTCCTTAATTCCCATCACCTATTTTATCCATTCTCCCACCCACCTCCCCTCTGGTAGCCATCAATTTGTTCTCTGTAGTTGAGAGTCAGCTTCTAGGTTTGCCTCTATCTTTTTTTCCCTCTGCTCATTTGTTTTGTTTCTGAAATTCCACATATGAGTGAAATCATATGGTATGGTCTTTCTCTATTTCGCTTAGCATTGTTCACTGTAGCTCCATCCATGTCATTGCAAATGGCAAGGTTTCATTCTTTTTTATGACCAAGTAATATTCCATTGTGTGTATGTGTATCTCACATCTTCTTTATCCATTAATCAGGGGATGTACACTTGAGCTATTTCCATAATGTAGCTATTGTAGATAATGCTGCTATAAACATCAGGGTATATATATATGCCTTTGAATTAGTATTTTTGTATTCTGTGGGTAAATACCTAGTAGTATGAGTGCTGGATTATAGGGTAGTTCTGTTTTTAACTTTCTGAGAAACTGCCATACTGTTTTCAACAGTGGCCCCGCAGTTTGCCTTCCCACCAACAGCGATGAGGGTTTCTCTTTCTCCGCATCCTCGCGAACACCTATTGTTTCTTGTGTTGTTGATTTTAGCCATTCTGACAGGCATGAGGTGATATCTCGTAGTTTTGATTTGTATTTGATGTATTTGATGATGAGTGAACTTTCCATGTGTCTGTTGGCCCCATCTGGATGTCTTTTTTAGAAAGATGTCTATTCATGTGGTCCGCCCATTTTTAAATTGGATTAGTTGGTTTTTTGGGTATTGAGTTTTATAAGTTCTTTATATATTTTGGATACTAACCTTTTATCAGATATGTGATTTGCAAATATCTTCTCCCGTTCCGTAGGCGGCCTTTTAGTTTTGTTGATTGTTTCCTTTGCTGTGCAGAAACTTTTTATTTTGATGTAGTCCCAGTAGTTTATTTTTGCTTTTGTTTCCCTTGCCTCAGGAGACATATCTAGAAAGAAGTTGCTATGGCCAGTGTCAGAGACATTACTGCCTACGCTGTCTTCTAGGATTTTTATGGTTTTCAGGTCTCACATTTAGGTCTTTAATCCATTTTGAGTATAATTTTGTGTGTGGTGGAAGAAAGTGGTCCAGTTTCATTCTTTTTGCATGTTGCTGTCCAGTTTTCCCAATACCATTTCTTGAAGAGACTTTTTCTCATTGGATATTCTTTCTTGCTTTGTTGAAGATTAATTGACCATACAGTGTAGGTTTATTTCTGGGTTTTCTCTTCTGTTCCATTGATCTATGTGTCTGTTTTTGTGCCAGTACCATACTTTTTTGATTACTAAAGTCTTGTCATATAACTTGTAGTCTTGAATTGTGATGTCTCCACCTTTTCTTTTTTAAGGTTGCTTTGGCTAGTCAAGGTCTTTTGTGGTTCCATACAAATTTAAGGATTGCGTGTTCTAGTCCTATGAAAAATGCTGTTGTATTTTGATAGAGATGGCATTAAATGTGTAGACTGCTTTGGGTAGTATGGACATTTTAACAATATTTGTTCTTCTGATCCATGAACATGGAATGTCTTTCCATTTCTTTGTGTCATCTTCAATTTTTTTCATCAGTATTTTATAGTTTTCAGAGTACAGGTCTTTCACTATGTTGGTTAGGTTTATTCCTAGGTATCTTATTGTTTTTGGTATAATTATAAATGGGATTGATTCCTTAAGGTCTCTTTCTCCTCCCTCATAATTGATGTATCTAAATGCAACAGATTTCTGTATGTTGATTTTGTATCCTGCAACTTTCCTGAATTCATTTATCAGTTCTAGCAGTTTTTTGGTGGAGTCTTTCAGGTTTTCTATATACAATATCATGTCATCTGTAAACAGGGAAAGTTTTACCTCTTCCTTGCCAATTTAGATGCTTTTTATTTCTTTTTCTTGTGTGATTGCTATGGCCAGGACTGCCAGTACTGTGTTGAATAACAGTGGTGAGAGTGGATATCCCTGTCTTGTTTCTGACCTGAGAAAAACTGAGAGCTTTTCCCTCATTGAGGATGATGCTAACTTTGGCTTTTTCATCTATGGCCTTTATTATGTTTCCTCTAAACCTACTTTGTTGAGGGTTTTTAATCATGAATGGATGTTGTACTTTGTCAAATGCTTTTTCTGCATCTATTGAAATGATCATATGGTTCTTATACTTTCTTTTATTAATGTGATGTGTTACATTGATTTGCAAATTTTGAACAACCTTGCAACCCAGGAATAAATCCCATTTGATTGTGATGAATTATTTTTGCTATTGTTGGATTCAGTTTGCTAGTATTTGTCGAGGATTTTTGCATCTGTGTTCATCAGAGAAACAGGCCTGTAGTTCTCTTTTTTGGTGGTGTCTTTATCTGGTTTTGCTATCAGGGTAATATGGGCCTCATAGAATGAATTTGGAAGTTTTCTTTCCTTTTTTACTTTTTGGAATAGTTTGAGAAGAATGGGTATTAACTCTAATTTATATTTTTGGTGGAATTTTCCTATGAAGCCATCTGGTCCTGGACTTCTGTTTGTTAGGAGATTTTTGATTACTAATTTAACTTATTTGCTGGTTATCAGTCTGTTCAAATTTTCTGTTTCTTCCTCTTTCAGTTTTGGTAGTTTATATGTTTCTAAGAGTTTATCCATTTTTTCTGAGCTGTCCAGTTTGTTGGCATAGAGTTTTTCATAGTATTCTCTTATATTGTTTGTATTTCTATGGTGTTGGTTGTTATTTCTCCTCTCTCATTTGTGATTTTATTTATTTGGGTCTTTTCTCTTCTTTTGATAAGCCTACCAGGAGTTTATCAATTTTATTAATTTTTCAAAGAACCAGCTCCTGGTTTCATTGGTCTTTTTTTTTTGTTTGTTTGTTTAGTTTCCATATCATTTATTTTTGTTCTAATCTTTATTAGTTCCTTCCTTCTACTGGTTTTGGATTTTGTTTGTCCTTTTTCTAGCTCCTTTAGGTATGAGGTTAGGGGTCTTTGAGATTTGTCTTGTTTCCTGAGGTAAGCCTGTATTGCTATAAACTTCCCTCTTAGGACTGCTATTGCTGTATCCCAAGGGTTTTGGATCCCCCAGTGGTAACACTTCATAAAACTATAGTGTAATATCTGTATTAGCTCACTAGGGCTGCCATAACAAAATGCCACAGATTGAGTGGCTTACACAACAGAAAT